AGAATTCGAGGATTCTGGCTTGGGCAACTAACTGGGTGGTGCCATCAACTCATGGTGAAGCCAAGAGAAGAAACAAGAGGGAAGGCACATGGACAGTGGATTCAGACTTGGAATGGAGACCCTCTAGAGGCTTCTGAAAATCTATGAAGGGCAGAGATCTGGATGCCCCACACAAGGGGGTTCCCTCTCACTACCCTACTCCTTTGCTTCCTAGCTTGCCCTTCAACCTTTCTGCAGGTCTAACTTCCATTCCTCCCGCTGTGCTTTGGGAGTGCATGCCTCTCAAGTTTGGAGACAGAATACTGTCATTATCATTTCCCTTTAACTACCTAAATTTCTCGAATTCTGCCACTAAATCCATACTATATTTGTATTCATTGAGCACCCACTAAGGGTCAGACGCTGTGCTGGAAGCTTTAGCTACGTTATTTCAACCAATCTGGCTTAACCATAGTATTAATATAATAATCCTGACAGTGACCACTTAGTGACAGCTCTCTTGAGCTAAGCCTTTTACATAAACTGTCATATTTAAACCTCACTGAGAAATAACCTGCCCAGGGTCACACAGCCAGTTAGTACTGAAATCGAGATGAGTCATCAAGGACTGTCTCCAATGCACCAGCCTCTCCGAGGGGGATGAGGACTGCATGACTGATGGGAAGGAGTTGCCATTTGGATGCCTTTCCCCTCCCTCTCACTCATTCTGTCCCAGCCGAAGCACAGAAGCAGCATTATCCTCCCAGACTTACCTGGGTGCAGAGGGCAGGTGCCCTTGATGACACCCCCGGGGCACCACTTGTTGGGGGAGGAGCAGTTGCTATAGGAGCTCCCAGACACTAAAAGTGGCTGCCTGCTGTCATTGGAAGGAAGTGCCCACCTACATGATAAGGGGTCCCATTCTTGACACAAAAGGGTGGTTCTTGCCTCCCCCTGCTGAGAATGGCTGAGGAGTTTGTGTCTGTGTGCGTGCCTTTGTACAGGACCTGGTACTAAAAGGGCCGGGGGATATGCACATGTGTGCAAGCGAGAAAAGGTCTGCCTCCCGTGCTTCAGGATATGTGTGTGTGAGATGGCTATCTGGCTCTCTAGGCACTCAGGAAGGCAAATAATTTGTACATTTCTTCACTTCTGTAACTGTGAGTGGAGTTCACGCAGGATGGGAAGGGCCTGGCCCCAGAGTTGAGTTCTGAGCTCAGTTCCCCACCTCTTCTTGCTTGTCTGCAGCTCCCTGCTTCCCTCTCCACCTCCCCCCATTGCCGGGCAGAATGCCCTCAGCCTGTGCCGGCTGGCACACATGCCACATGGTGCCTGGCGCACGTCTGGGCAAGGATGACGCCCCCAGGCCCGGCTGGGATACCAAGCCACCCGCTGCCTCCCCCACCTCCAGAACGGAGCGTCCCCATCCCGTCCCCTTTCTCAGCCAGGGACACAGGGAGCAGGCGGGGACACAGCACAGACAGATACAAACAGACAGATGCACCCGGAGACGCCCACAGGCGTGTGCCCCAGAGAGGCACAGGCACAGGCATTCACGCAGGCTTGGGTACACACACACACGCACGCACGCACACACATGCACGCGTGCTCCGAAAGAAACTCTTGGGCAGTGGCCACTTGCACAGATCCCAGCAGGCAGAAGTAGACCCGCTGGGCTCTTGCCCCGGTCAGGCAAACCCACCCCGGGCCTCTGTCCGTGGTGCTGAAATCAGACTGCCCTCCTTACAGAAAGAAGAGAGGGAAATGGACCAGAAGAAAGAATGGAGGAGAGAGAAAAGAAGGGAGAGAGAAATTCATAGATAAGGGGAAAGGGAGAAAGAGAAGTGGAGAGAGGTAGTTTAGAAAATACCAGGGGGACCAAAGTATTGTGAACGCTGGCATTAGGACAGGGAGATGATAAACATAAGGTGATCTTAGCCTCCCCATTCCTGCCCAAGTGCAGTATCAGGCTCAAGTATTTATCTATCTTTGCCTTTCAGGGCCAAGAATGAGAAGAGTTTGGTAGAGGTACAATGGCAAGTGAGGGATCCAGGATGTGTGGTTTCTGCTGACATCAACTTGTCCTTTTCAGGGTGCCTTCTTGCCCTTGAGGATCATAAAATAGAGGAAGGAGAAAGACACCAGGGAAACCCATAATGACCCTGCAAATAGCTCCCTACATGATTCTTTATCCCAATTTGTGTTGGGCAAGTGGACAACAATGTTGATCTGGATTTGTTCTGGGGATTGCAGGGATTTAGTGGCTGCTTAATGCTTATCCACAAGATTGGCTTATGGGTTCCTATCTCCCTCCAGAGATAAAAACTTCCCTCTGGTGGGATTGTCTAGTAAGAATGGATCTCCCACCAGCAGCATCTTAGTCATGAAATTTGTGACACACGAATAATGTCCATGTTCCTGATTGAAAGGTAAGGATTTCAAGGGCCAAAATGTTTACTATATAATCTAGGCAAGAAAGAATGAAAGAGAAGATGAGAGAGAGAAAAAAGAAGGGTAGAGAAAGAATTGTGAATATGGACAGAAGGACGAAGGAAGGAAGGAAAGAGGATAGAGACTGGAGAAAGAGGAAGGGGGAGGGTGGAGATGCTGATGGAAGAAATGAAAGAGGGCATGAATGACCCAGACAGACTCCAGTATACAGGGAAAGGGCAGGGGAAGTATGCCAGGTGGAGCAAATTGCTTCCCTCAAGCTTCCCAGGGGCCCAGATTAGACTGGAAGTCCAGCCTGGTCCTGCAGCTGTTCACAATGGCGTCCTTCACCCAGGGCTTCAAGCAGAAATACCCCATGGACCAGGACTATGGATGTGAGGAGCAGCTGCCCTAGCAAAGAGGGTGGGTGGAGTCAGAGGCAATCAAATCTGCCTGTGTGGTTTCCCTGTGGGTGGGATGGGAAGAGCGGGTGCCTCCTTGGAAGTATTTCCACCTATTTGCACTAGTGGCAGGAAGAGAAAGCCACATGTGTGGATATTCACTGGAGAGTGGATGCTTAACTGAGGGTGAGGAGCAGACAGAGGAAGAAGAGAAGCAGAATGAGAGGAGTAAGTGGAAAAGAAAGGATACTGTATTCCTAAAATTTTTGGACTTCTTAATTACTGTTTCTTTTTTCCTATCAAAGGAAAAGAAGCAAAGGCTAGGATAAAATCTGGGCCTATGTGCCTCAGTGTTCTTATTGTAGTATAGGTATAACAAGAGTCCCAACCTCATAGGGTGGTTGAGATGATCATCAGCTCATGTATAATGCTTGTCAGTTACTGATACATAATAGACTCCAAATATATGTTAGTTTCCATGTTGTTGTTGTATGTTGGTTTCATACTAGGATCAGCTGAGAAATCTCTCATGTTTGACTAGACCTTCTTGCTACAGTCTCAGGTCCAAACTTTAGGCATTGTGAAAGACTGTGATATTTCTAGCTATTCAACTTTACTCCTGAAGAGAAGGAGCCAGGATTTTTTTCTGGGGTACAGGGGGGAACCTCATGGTCTTTGGAACAGGGTGCTCATCAGTGGCCATTGAGGATGTTTTCCTGGATTCCTGAAAAATCTGGCCCCTGGACCTACATCAGTGCCTCTCTGCCCAGGTTGGAGCCTCAGCACTCCACCCTCCTCAGTGCTGGTGCCTCAGCCCTGCTCAAGCCTGTTTGAATGTGGACATGTGGAGCATTTCTTGCAGACTGCTCTTCCAACCCTGATCCCTTTGCCTTTTTTCCACCTACCCTCCTGCTTCTTTCTTGTCTCCCTCTTTCTTCTCAGGAATCTAGTTGGAGAAAAGGGATTCCCTCACTACCGAGAGGGGTGGGATTTCCCCACCCTTCACAGGCCAAATGGATGGTCTCATTCTGGAGGTCAAGGAAGCTTGTGAGGGCTGGCACAAGGAGAGGTGAGGGGTGGCAGGGCAGCCCCCATGTCCTCCCATTCCCCCCAGCTCCTGTCTCATCACTGTCACCATTCAATCATAGCAGATGGGCTGCAGCTGTGAGCGCCAGCCCGGCACACAGGCTGGTCCGTGCCACTTGGGAGAGAAGGAAGAGAAAGGGAGGGAGGGAGAGAAGGAGGAGGAATGAAGGGGGGAGGGAGAGAGGAAAGGGAAGAAGAGGAAGAGGAGGAGGAAAAGGAAGAGAGTGGAGGAGGAGAGAGATTACTTGAAAAGAGAAAAGACTTGGTAGCTTTCATGCTTTTCCCTTCTCAGCAGGAGAGCAGAGGCCAGGGCTGGGCTCACAAGCTGGGCAGTGCCAGGCGAGATGGGCATATGCCCTTGATTACTACCAGGACTGCAGGCCAAGCCTCCGCCGCCGCCACGGCCTCATAAATCAGTTTTTAAGTAGCAACCACATGGACATTTCCCAGCTGAGAGGCCTGGCCTCTGTCGACCCAGTGAGGGCAGCCCTGGAGGAGGGGCAGGTGCCAGGCCAAGCAAGGCAAGAAAAGAGAGAGGTGGTCCTCAAGGCTTGATGGGAAATGGGGCTGGAGCTGGCTCAGGGAAAATTTGGGTGCAGGGACTCCTGCCAATAAGGTGTAGGTAAGAAGATAACAAGTGCCTGTCATCAGTGAGTCTGAAACCCCAAACTCCACCCAGTTTTGGGGCTCCTAGACCCTGTCCTGGCTTCCCCTGGGGAAGCTGCTTATGAGGAGGAGGATGGTGCTGCCCCTGAAACCTCCTCCCTCCAGGTGCCCCTCCCACTGAGAATCTGTGTGAATGTCAGAGCAGCACGTGGGCCTGTGCACTTGAGTATCTGAATGTGCTCACAGCTTCCGGTGGGTAAGAAGGTATGTCCCTAGTATCTAGTCCAGCCCCAGCACAGACCAAATATCTGTAAAACTGCTTGAATGAGTAAGTGATTGATTGAGTGTGAAGGGGGCCAGTTATGTGTTTTCAGGAATGGGAGCCTCCATATCCGAGTGTGTGTGTGTGTGGGGGGGGTGTCTGTGGGTGCTCTGGGAGATCTATTCTGACAGACGTGCCTCCCCCTTTTCAGGATCTCCCCCCTACTCAGCCCTCCCCTAGGCCCTGATTCTCCCCTTCTGGGGACCCGCCAGGAGGACAGCAGCTCCTGAATTCCACCCCCAGTCTGATCCCAAGCTTGGCGCCCCCTCTTCCCCGCTCTGCAGGCCAGCTTTGATAGCTGGGGGTAGGGGGCTTGGCTGAGGTTGGTGGGGAGTGAGGTGGGGACGGGAGTCCCGCCCTTGCCCCTGGAACCTCGGGCAGAGCCGGCGGGGTGGGGGCTCCCAGCCTTCTTGCGCCCGGTGTCTCCTCCGTGGGTGAACAGATGTCTCGGAATTTTCGATGTGCTCTCCGCCCCTCCTCGCAATACCCCCCCTCCAAGCTGGCACCGGCTGTGGCGCCCTCCCTTCCCCCACCTCCGACAGCAGAACCAGCTGATGGATCAGGGAGCGCGGCCGGAGGCCTGGGCCCGGGGCGGCGGGGGCCCGCGGGGTCGCGGCCGTGGGCTGGGCGGAGTCTCGGAGGCTCCCGGCGCCGAGGGAACCGGGTCGGCGCTGCCCGGCCTCTCCGTTCCTTCCCTCCTGCCGCATCTCCTCAGCCCTGTCTCTCTTCGGTCCTCCGTCTCGATCTACGGCCTCTCTACCCCACCCCATCTCCCAGCCGCGTCTATGCAAACCCCCTCCACACAGAACCTCACACTTCGCGACGGAAACTCCTCCTGGCAACTTCGGCGGAATTCTTCCCTCCAGAGACCCCTTTCTCTGCGTTCCGTGAGCCACCCCATCCCCAGCTGGCCGCCTGCCTGCCCTCAGTGGAAACCCGGAGTTTATCCGGAGAACATGGAGGAAGGGCAGGAGGGGAGCGCGGCTCGAGGTTAGGGAGGCCGAGGAGGCCGGTCGGCCCGGGCTGAGAGACACCCAAATTTTCTAATCACTGCTAATTAATGAGCAATCCAATTCCGTGGACCCTCAACTCAGGGGAGGGGGGCGGGGCCCGCTGAGGGCAGGAGGGGGCCTTGGCAGGGCTTGGCAGCCGGGTGGTGCCAGGCGCCCTCCCCCACCCCACCCCCACCCGCCAGCATTCCGAGGTAACAGGCATTTGTTACCCAGCTCGTGCCAGGAGCGATTGGCAGGTTCGAGTAGGCACAGTCATTCTGCACACAGATGTCCCTGCGCTCACTCTTCTGATATGAATTCTGTCAGCTCCAAATCTGAGGGAGATGAGCAGACAGCCACACAGACAGTTACAGACGGACACAGGCAGCACAATTGTCTGGAGGACACAGAACTCCATGGGTATTTATTTTTCTTCCCTGGGAGGGGGGCGGAATTGAATGAAAGAGAAATAAGAAAGGCTCCCACTAATTTGGGGGCACCTGTCTGAACTCCGGAGAGTGGCCCTCACTCCTTCCATCCTCCGCTGGTTTTCCTCCCCTCCTCAGAGTTTTCTGGTCTCCTTCAGGGCCCCACAACAGTATATCCGAACTTCAAATCGCTGCAGCCAGAGTCAGTGCAACCAAAGCCAACCGACTCCGGGAGGTCAGGGTCCTAACCCAGGACTCGGAATTTCTAAATCCCTGCAAGTTCTAGAATATCACCAAAGTGTAGGTTCCAGCCTTCTAGAAATGCTGAAATTCAAAATTCCAGAGCTCCTGCTCCAGGGCAATCTGTATCCACTGCCCAATCCCTGGATCACCTTCTCCATTAGAGAGGGGAGACCTGGGCTCTGTCTGGCACCCTGGAATGGAGGACCCCACATGTCTGGTACTCACCAGACAAAGCCCAACCTTGGCAAGCAGCCCAAAATGCAGCCTGCCCTTTGAATGAGGAAGGTGGAAAGGTCAGATCAACGGGCTCCTCCCCTTTCTGGCACACTTTCCCCGGCAACAGTTCCCATCCTGACCCTCCACATCTGACCTGGCTATCCCACCTCTGCCTGTCCTCCCTCCACCCTTACCCCGGCAACTGTGGGAGAAAGCTGGTTGGTCACTGGGCATCTGTGAGCAGGATGGGCATGAAGAGCCGCTGGGGTTTGGTTCTCCCGGGGCAGCTTATGCTGGTGGAAGAAGAGGAGGCGGGCAAAGGGGGCAAAGAAACTCCACGATGTTGGAGGAGAGGGCACAGAAGGGTTTGGGTTGTGGTTTGTTGGATTGTGTTTTTTAATCTTTCTTTCTTTTTTAAAGAAAAAGCCCCCATCCTGTGTCATCATTTTTATGGGATCTGCAATTCTGGCAAAAATCTGTCTTTAATTTAGCTGTCCATATAAAAATCCTCACTGTATAATAATGAACAGATGCCATGGAATTTAAGCTGGAGCCTCGACTCCTCCCCGCTTTCCCCCCCGCGCCTGGCACCGGGCACCGGCTGAGTGGCACAGACTGGCACCAACGCGCGGGCGAAGGGTGGGCAGGGGGCGACCTGGGCTCGTTGCCAGGGCGCTGGGGTAGTAAAGAGGTGTCCAGGCGCCGGGCTTGGCCAGTCGGGAGTTTTTCTCGTGGAAGCATCAAGGGAGAAGTGTCTGAGGAATTTTTCTGTCTTTTTCTACAAAATGATCAGTAGTTAAGGATTTTGTTTGGTTTTGCTTAGGGGCTGTGTGGTTCTCAGATTTAAAAAAAAGCACATCCCTACCCCCAGTATAAATCCAAATGTTTTCGATGTTTTAATTGAGTTGTTTTTAACCCACCCCCTGCGCCGCGCCCCGGCCTCTGCCTCAGAGCCCAGCCGAACGCTAGTTCGCTGCAAGCGGGATCCGTTCCGCACCCGGCCGGCCCGTGGTATCCTGGGCGCCGGCGTCTCCGGGGACTCCCGGGCAACTCCCGCGGGGCCGGAGTGCCCTGTTGCCCTCCAGGAGAGAGGCCAGATGTGGCATCTGATTAAGAAGCAGGACAGAAGAAGGCAAAAGAGAAATCCGCACTTGCCCCTCACGATTCGCTCGCTTTTCCCAAGGGGAAAGAAAAAAACTCTGAGTCCAGTCCCCTGCTGCCGCCGCCTGCGGTAGAGAAAGCAGGTATCGACTCGGGATTGAAGGGTTGATTCTGAGCCCCCACCACCCCCACCTCTCGCCTTTAATGCGACTCTGGCGAGAACAGATGTCCCAAGCCGGGCGGACTGCCCAGACCCCGCCCAGCTGTGCCCTTGGCGAAGACTTGGCTGAGGGTAGGAACTGGCACGCGGGTCCCCAAAGGGGCTCGGGGAGCTCTCTCGGCCCTGGTGGGACCTGACCTCTCAGCCTTGGCCTCCTGGCTAGCCGCAGCCTCAGGCGAGAAGCGGAAGCGCCCCAGAAAGACCCGTTCCTAATTCAATTAATTTCGAAAAGAGGAATGAGACGCAGACAGAGGTGGAGAGAAGCCCAGAAAGGTCCGAATAACGGAACAGGCACACACTCGGCCGTGGAACTCTGCAGCCTTAGTCAAACCCTGGGAGACTGTGCCGGGTTCCTGCGCTGGAGCGGGCAGGCGAGCTGGCTGCGCCAGAGCCACACCCAGGCGCGCATCTGGGCAGCGTCTCCACCCAACGCAGTGTCCCCGCTCCCTAGGCACAGCCAACATCGCTGGGGCTCCCTGGCTCTCCCCTCCTCTGAGCACCCCAGATTCCTCTCCCTGTACTAGGGGGCTGAGATTCCCATCCCTTGGCATCTGCCCACAGGAAGCGGTTGCCTTCCTGCTTGTGAGCTTGGTCGGGGCCTTCTCAGGCTGGCACTCCAGAGCAGGTGAGGCGCTCCTATCCTAGCGCTTGAGGGTGGAGAAAATTTCAGAGAGCAAAATGACCCTCCCAAGGTGTCTGCACCTTTTCTTACTGTTCCTCAAACAGGAAGACTTGGTCCAGAATTTTAAATGAATGTGGAATAGAAAGGCAGAAGCCACTTTTAGGATCTGGAAAAGCAGCAGTGTTCTAGGTGTTTTTTTTTTTTTTTTCACACCCCAGGTCGTCATGGGCCTGTGTGGCCAGTGCCGGGGCACCCAGTCCTAAAGAAAGAAAAGTGACCGTGTCTTGGGCTGTGAGCTGAGAAGCCTGTTGTGATGGCTGAGCCCATTTGCCCCCTCCCACATCTCAGCAGAAGAAAAAGCTTCTCCTTTGAGCACACAGGGGCAGGAACACTCGGCTGACCCCTGTTGTCACACGGTGAGCTTGAGAGTGGAGGTCAAGACCAAGGCTGGTCAGGCCTGGCCTCCACTGTCTCTTTCTTCCCACCTTCCTTGAGAATTAAACTGTGGAATCTAGAACTATCCCTCAGTCCCAATGTTCCCTCAAATCAACGGATTCCTCCAAGGAGCAGGTAACCTCAGGTTAAAGATTCTGGGGAAGAGGAAGAAGCAAAGTTGCCCAAGAGGGAATGAAATCTCTGACTTCTGTAAGAGATCATTGCATCCCCAGCTTGTGGACTTCCCATAAAAGGGAAAAAGAGAAAAGTAAACACAAGCCAGTGGAATCTAGGGAGAGTCAGGACTTCCCTGTCTCTGACGCCAGTGGGGCTCGGTTTCCCTGGATTGTACTCAGTGATTTGTTGAGCTGTCCCTTTGGGTGATGAAACCAGAGCCAGGGGTTCACTGGGGATTCACTGGGTGGGTGGGGGGTCAGTGTTCAGATCCTGGGTGAAATAGGGTTAAACAGAAAGGAGACCATCAGCAGTGCTTTCCTCTCTGTTTCCCCTGATATACAAATGACCTGGACACAGAGACACTTCTATTTCCCAGTTGCTTCCAAACTCTGACCTTTGAACGGGGGTGAGAAAACCAAGGGGAGGACACCCTCCAGATTGATCTCAGCTCCAGCCTCCAGTTTGGCTGCCCAGGATGAGCCGAGCCGACTAGTTCCTGCTTGGAGATTCCTTTGCTCAGGTTAAGGCGCGAGGAAGGCGTCCTCTCTGCAACTTTTCCCCTTGCCCTCTCCCTCCCACCGCTCTGGCCCCTTTCTCCCCCCCCACCCCCCCACCCCCCGCCCCAACACACACACCTCCTTCTGTTCCTGGAGGTTCACTGTGTGTGTGCGCACAGGCGGGCGAGGAAAAGACCTACGAGGGGGAGTTTGGGGCCGCGTGTCGGCGTGCATCTTCTTCTCCTGCTCACCTAGCCATCTCACCAGGGAAGTTGAGTGTTGGGGAGGGGGGTGATGGGAGGACAAATCGCAGCTAGAGAGCAGAGGGTGTGGGGGAAGGGTCAGTAATTGGGAAAGGGGCAGCTCGTGTGGACGTTGGATTCTCAGGAAGCAGAGGCACTAGGGATCCCCTCCCCGAAAGTGACCCCTCCCCCAAAGTGACCTGCCCAAAGTGACCACAGACACAGTGGCCCTAGAGTCATCAGCATCCTTGGAAGTGGGCTGGAATCCGGCTTCAAAAACAGAATCAAGCTGCTTGGAGGAGCCAGAGGAGTGAAGCGCTGGTGTCTGTGGTCTGCCCAGGGGAGCCAAGTAGAGGGATCTTTTGCCTCTGGTCCCAAGCCACTTGAATCCTGCCCAGACTGGGACTTCAGAGCAGGCTCTGGAAAACCAGCTTTGGGACGGAAACCCAATTAACCTTGTTCTTAGAGCAGGATAAGACTCAGGTCTTGGGATGTGTACTGAGTTCCTTTTCTCTCCCATTTCCTGCCAGGCCATGCCCCATGCCATGAACAGATCTGACTCTTTCAGATTCGGGTCTGAGATGATCACTTTGGTCCATACTCCATGTAAGAAACGAGGGAGGTTGAAGGTGAACCGATTTCTTTCTCTCCCAAAGTATGGGTGATTTTGAAGTGTATAAGACACCCACCCTTAGACCACCAACAGGGGTGAATCCTCAGAACGAAAGGCCCATTTCTAAATCTCACGCTAGAGAAGCAATCCTATGAGAATTCCAGAGAAGGAGGTGAAATTTTGAAAGGATTCCAGTGAAATTCTCCAAAAACTGCGGGAGAATTCTTTCCAGAATTCCGGCAGACCTGGTGTTGGGAAGGGGCCTCACATTGTGCGGCGCTCCCTGGGGCCAGGGAAGTTCGGCCTCCCTTTGGGGCGGGACAGCGAGAGGCTGAACGGGAGTCAGCACCCGGGAGTGGACAGCTCCCAGCCCGGTCCCAGCTCCGCCTCCGGCGTTCTCCAGGCGGAGGAAGGAGAGCAAGGTCTCTACTGGGTTGGTCTTTTAGGGGAGCCGCGCAGCTCAAGGTCAGAGAGTATAATCCGATGGACCCTTTCGCGCCTAGTGAATCCTTCAAGTGCCTTTCCCTTTCCTCCTTTGTCAGGGTGCTTGCATTTTGGGGTCTTGGGGCCAACCTTTAAAAGCCTCAGTGTGCCTGACTTCAAGCCCCAAACTCAACACTACAACCTCCATTTCAGCTCTAAAACGGGAAGTGTTTTTGAAAAAATAATTTAAATAAGCAGATTCAGAAACAGTCCCGTTGTGGTACTCCTAAGTGTGTTCAGGCTTTGGGATGGCCAGTGTTTGGGACTTAGACCCCTCTCCAAATATTCCAGTGAGCACTGGTGTCTGGATTGGAGTGGGGGGTACTGTTCTTTGCGGGGAAGTCAGTTCAAAGCAGCCTCTGCTCCTGAGGCTCAGAGAAAGAGAACCCTGAGGTTACCTTGCCTGAGAGGAGGAAGTGGCTTGGGCCGTCTGTCTGAGGGCTTCCTTCGCGCCGGGAGCAGCACCAGGCAGGAAGGGGGTTGTCCCGGGGTGGATCAGAAGGCTTCTCTCTGTCTGGTCAGGAGAAGCTAGTGGCTAGGTCAGGCTCCACTCTATCTACCTGGCGGGTTCCTAGACTCAGGCCCCTTCACAGAACTCTGGGGGTGTTCCATCAACTTCGTCAACACCTCTACAAATTTCAATATTCTTGAGGCTGAAAATGGCTGATTCCCTTGAGTCCACTGAAATTTAAAATGTAAGACTGGAAAGACTTCTTCCATTAATATTTCATTCTCATAACCTGATAGTTTTTCTATTTAAAAGCATCCCTGTCTGGCTTAAATGGTTGTCTCTTGATTTCTACACGCTCGTTTTTTTTGCAACAGTGGGCAAAGGGTTGTAAAATGACCAACTGCTCTCATCTTGGTTATTTTTTTTTTTCATCTTGGTTATTTTTCAGTGATGAAAAGATATTTGTTTTCAAAAGAGGTGCATGTGCATGTTGGGGAACTGAAGGAGTGTAATGAGTTTAGCGCAATGCTTTGTGCTGGGGGCGTGTGTGAGTCTGTGTAAGGTCTGTGAGGGGCAGCAAGTGCAGCTGTTTCGGTGCCCAGTGGGTGGGTGTGAGGGGGTTTGTAGTGTGGGAATCCTACCCAGGAATTTCCAGGGTTCCTCTACCTGGCCACCACACAGTCATTGACTCTGTTTTTTCATCACGCTGAGTCCCAGCTCAATGCCCGGAATGAAACGAGGCCACCGTGAAAAACCGGTCCGGCTTTGCATCTCATTTACATAAATATTTATTAATCGTCATTAAACTGAACAGAAACACGCAATGCACTTCGGGTGTCCGACGGGAGTTTCATCTTCGCTACAAGAGGAAGGTAAAATTGCGTGTGAGTGTGTGGGTGTTTCGCCTGTGGGTTTGCATTTTTGCATCGTGTGTTTGGATGTCTGATCTCCTGCCTCCGGTGGGGAGAGGTTCTCCTTTTGCCCCCTTTTTTTTGGGAAACCTCCAGAAGGAGTCCTCAGCCGTCTCCCTGCCCACCTGTCGTCAGCCAGAGCCAAGAGGATGCCTCGGACAAAAACTCCCTCTCCAGCCACCGGAAATCGCCGGGCGCTTGAGGCCCAAAGAGGCACAGTCGGGAGGGGCTGCCTTCAGGTCTGGGTCTCCACCCCTGTCCCGGGAAGGGATAGAGTCGCCTGAGGGGGGTTGGGGGGCGGCGAGGTCTCCTCCCTCTGCCCCCCGACGCCGGCTCTGGGCCTGCGTGTGCGTGCGGTGTGGCGTGCGTGTGTGTCTTTCATGCAAACCCTCCCTCCCCAAACCGACCCCCCAACAGTTTGCCATTCCATACAAATTTGGAAACAGATTTTTAAAAAACAGCATGACGCACAACGGGGACGGGGCGGGGGAGGGCAGTGGCACTGGGGCCCCAAATCTCGGAGTCTCTGATTGTAAGAACCTGGGGAGGGGAGGGGGCAGCGCCGGCCCCCACTTCACCAAAGTGCACAGATCCGCGCTTGGGCGGCGCGGCCCGCGGGCCCGGAGGGGCATCCCGGGGCCGGGCCGGGCCGCTAGGCTCAGTCAGAACCTCCTTGCATAGATATTTGTGTCTTTTTATTATTGGTAGTAGTATTTTTTGCCTTTTATTGCTTCTAAAAGTTCTTACTGCGTTTTTTTTTTTTCTGATCCGGACTCTGCGTTCGGCCTCCGTCGCCTCAGATTTTTTTTTTTTTGTATGTATGTTTGTTTAAAAAAGGAAAAGGGGGGAAATGGACTCTAGTTACAAATTATCTTGGCCTCTCTCTTTCCTCTCAATCCACATTCCCTCCCGCCAAAATTAAAATCACAAAACGCTGAGACTAGGGGTTGGGGATGAGGGCTTCCAGGTCCAGGTTTGGCGCCCAGACTTAACGCCCTTTTCAAGAAAGAGGGGGCGCCCAGCTCCTCGGGAGCTCGGTGACTGTTTCAATAATAATAATAGGAGGAAAACAGTATACCACAGCTCAGCTGCCCCCCTTACCAAAGCCTTTGGGCCTGCATGGGGAAAAGGGAAGAGGAACGGTGCAGGAACTGGGAATGGGGGGAGGGGTCTCCAGAGAGTGCCCGAAGAGGGTCCCTGTAGAAGTGTTCCCTGGGAAAGAGGAGGAGAGAACCCCCTGGGGACAGAGAAGGCGAGTCCCCTGGGGGAAGCGAGGCCCCGAGGACGGGCACCCACAGATAAGAGGACCGCGCTGCCAGGAGAGCGGCAGAACCGACGGCCCGCTCCCCGCACCCCGCGCTGGGGTAGGTGGGGGTGCCCCTGCGCTGGGGGGGTGGGGAGGTTGGGGGCAGGGGTGCGGGCAAAGGCCAAAAAAAAAAAAAAAAGGAAGGGGCAGGCGCGAGGTCTCAGTTATGGAAAAACGCATTGAGCTCCTCGTACATGGGGCCCCGGTCGTGGTGAAGGTGCATATCGTAAGATAAGAGATTCTCCGAGTGGACGCCCCCGCGCACAGCCGACGAACCAAAGACCAGCCCGTGGCCCGTGGGCCGCGAGCCGGGCAGCGCCGAGTAGTGCATAGAGTAATGGTAGCTCTTCTCGTGGTCGGGCGACGAGTCCTGCTTGAGCGAGAAGTTGCCATTGAGGCAGAGCGGGGGGCTGAGCGGGCCCTCGTACTCGGAGCTGTTGTAGTCCGGGCTCGCGCCGCCGCCGCCCGCCGCCGCGTACAGCGTCTCGTAGGCGGCGCAGTAGCCGTGGGTCCGCAGGGCGTGCGCCGCGCCGCTGCCCAGGCCGCCCGCCGCCTGGCACTGTGCGCCCGCCAGGCGCGAGCACGGGTACGGGTAGGGGTGCATGGCGAACGGACCGCCCGAGCCGTGGAAGCGGCCCGTGCCGTCGGCGCCCTGCTCGGTGAGGAAGTTGCGCGAGTTGAGCTGCAGGCAGCCGGCCACCAGGTTGGTGGTGGGCTGCGACAGGCCCTTGCACAGCGTCTGCACGTAGGACACCAGGTCGGGCCGCTTGCCCGAGCGCAGGATCTCCGAGAGCGCCCAGATGTAGTTCTTGGCGAGGCGCAGCGTCTCGATCTTGGACAGCTTCTGGGTCTTGGAGTAGCAGGGCACCACCTTCCGCAGGTTGTCCAGCGCCGCGTTCAGGTCGTGCATGCGGTTGCGCTCCCGCGCGTTCGCCTTCTGCCGCCGCAGCTTGGAGCGCTCCAGGCGCGCCTTGGTCATCTTGCGCTTCTTGGGCCCGCGCTTCTTGGGCCGCTCGCCCTCGGCCTCGTCCAGACCTTCCTCTTCCTCCTCTTCCTCCTCCTCCTCACCCCCCAGCTCGCCTTCCTCCTTGACCTCGGCCAGCGCGGCCTCCGGCACCTCGTCGGAACGGAGAGGGACGGGCTTGGCGGCCCGGGCGGGCCCCGGAGCCCCGGGCCCCGGCTGAGGCGGAGGCGGCGGCGGTGCGTCGCCCTTGTCGCTCCTCGGCTCGTCGTCGTCGCCGTCGCCCCAGCTGGCGAACTTGGGCACGTCCGAGAGGAGACCGGGCTCGCTGAACAGGCGGGTCAGCATGGTGCCTGAGGACGCCCGGCGGGCGGGAAGGGGAGACACAGAACACAGAGTTAGGGGCGCGCTGGGTTCATGCCGCGCCCCTTCCACCCGCCTCCACCCCCGAGTCCAGTGCGGATTCCTGCCCGGGGAGCCCTGGATGCCCACCTCCTCCGCCTGCCCCACCCCGAGCCTGCCCAGCCCTGTTCCGGCCGCGCGCCCGGGATCTCGGCCCAGGCCCTTTCCCCAGCGCTGGGCCCCGGCTCCACCCCTAGCCTGAACGAGGGGCCGCTCCCCGCGCCGGGTCATCTCCGGGTGTGGTTGGGACGGAGCTGAGGCTTAAGGGAGCAGATCTCTTCGCCGGGGGGAGGCTGCACGATCACCCGGAAAGCCTGTCCTCTCCGGGCGTTGGAGGAAGGCTGGGCGGCCGCCGGTGGGGACAGCTGCCCCGCTCGGCGGCTCCGGCGGCCCGGGCCCCTCCGCCCTGCTCCCTCACCCTCCAGTGGCTCTCACCCCCACGTTCCCTAATCCAATTTGCAACTTGGCCGCGCGCCGCCCTCGGCTCGGCCCCCACCCCCGCAGCCCCAATTCCAGAGGCGGGAGGATCGTTTCCTCTAGCCGGGCGTCCCCAGCTCCCGGAGCCGGCTCGGAGCGGCGAGGGCTGAGAAACCCGGGCGTGGGGAGGAGACGGAGAGAAGCGAGCCCCGTCCGTCTCCCCTGCGGTCGGGGACCCCCTTCCCCCCTTTAAACTGCCTCCCTCCCACACGGCTCTTCAGATCTCGTTGTATTTCGGGATTGATAGGAAAAAAAATCCAAATTTGTTTGTTTGCTTCTCTCTCTCTTTTTCCCGGTGGTAGGGAAAGGTCGAAGGTTCCTCCGGGACAACCATGGGGGGTTCCCATCTCAGGCTCTTCACGCCCTCCATGACCCTGCTTCCCCCTCCTCCCCAAGCCCAAGGCGGGCAGAGACGCCTCCCTCCGCAGCCCCCTGAGCTGCAGCCCCTTATGCGAGAGGAAACCCAGGGCTCCTCCGATGCCCACCCCATGAGGGGGCATCATCCCAGGAAGGGGGGATTTGGGGACCGTCCTGTCGGCCGAAGAAGCTGCCCCCCTCCCCGCCCCCAACCAGCGGGTCAGATCTAGCTCCCTTTCGGACAACTTACCTCGGAGAGGAGTCAAGGGGAGAGGGGAGGGGAGGGGGGGGAGGGGGGCAAGAGAGAGAGGGGGGAGAAGAGGAATCTTCTCGCTTATTTCATTGTTCCCCCATCTTCAGGGAGCGGGGGCAGCGGCTCCTCAAGGCGGCAGGCGCCGGCGTCTTCAGAGCGCCATGCGAACCGCGGAGCGAGTGTGGCATCTCTACCAGGCGGGGTACCAGCCTCTATGCCAGGCCATATGGGCTTGGCACGTCACGGGCAGCAGCTATCACATGAGAGACGGTGATTGGCATGCGTCTGCATTGGGGGAGAGCCGGCTCCCCCGGGACCCGCCGCCATCTGTCACTCTCTACTCCAAAAAAAAAAAAAAATTAAATAAATAAAGGAAATAAATAAATATCTCTGCCGCCCTCCCCTCCCCGCCCAACGCAGGGAAAGCAGGGATTGAGAGGGAGGAAGGAGGAGTTGCCCCCTTGGATATAGAGTCCCCCACATGGGAACAATGGGGTGGCGAGGTTGGAAATTGGGGGGTTTTGATGTTCCCAATTCTGTGCTCCCTCCAGGGCCCTGCTCTGTCCATTTCTTTCCTTGCAGGCCCCCAAAGGTGGGTCTGGAACCAGAACCTAGGGTCTGGAGAGGGGACCTCTATGCTTGCCCCCACACACCCCCCCCCAGGAGGATCCGCTTGACCACAAAGGGACAGCTGAGGCCTCCTCCCGGGGTGGGCGTGGGGGGCGTCCCTGGCCTAAGCCCCATAGGTAGATGTTGGCACCGTGCCATCCCTCATCCCTGTCTGCCCCTCCCCCACCCACCCTCACGCACACACAACATATGTGGCTGAACGAAATTCAAACCAAGGGAAAGACAGAGAAAAGGAAAGACTTGCCTGGATGTCTGTGCCTCTGCATGGGCGTGTGTGTGTGTCTGTGGGGACATGTGTGTATATCTGTGGAGTCAGCCGACGGGAAAGATTTCCTTGGGTGTTTGGGGGCACATGTAGGTTGGGAGGTTGGGATCTGGATGGAAAGCAGCCCCTGGGATAAGACTATGCACCCACCGTCTGGGGTTGGGGGAGAGGGTTGGGTCTGGATTCCTAACCCAGAAACCTCTCCCTCCTCTCCCCCAACTCCCAGCCCCACATACCCTCCCCCTGCGAGACAAGTAGCCACCCCACCAGTCTCTTTCTTCCCTGGCCTCTGACTTGGTTGTTTGAAGGAGGAGGGGGCTGGGCTGGGAATCGCCTCAAGTTCCTGAAGGAGATGCAAGCATTCCCCTCCCCCTTCAAAAAATCCTGAAAGTAGAGAAGCCAACTCCAGCAGTCCACCAGTGACCCGGGGGAGGTAGGTCAGACAGGTGCCTTGGTGAGGAAAATAGGAAATTGCTGTTTTATCTTACAACTCACCTTTCAACCCTCTCCCTGGGCCAGACACAGATGCATGGATTGAGGAAGGAAGCTTTACACACACACACACACACACACACACACACACACACACACACACCTGTTCCTCACTCTGTGCAAAAAATGGATACACACCCCTACTCAGATAGAGTCTTGTGTGTAAGCAGGCAATCACAATCAGGTGTAGACAGACCCTGGTCTACACCTTTATTCAGGCATTCGTAGTGTGTTTCAGACCCACTAAGACAACGTCAGTTATACTTGACCACACTCACTTTGATGGAAACCGCGTGCCAAGTACTGGGTGGTGCAAAGACAGGGGTCTCATTCTCAGTCTGCACAGGAACACTTTTCTCCTTCTAGGACTTCAGGAAGGGGTCTTGGACTGGGAAGACACTGATTTGGTGTCTAGTAGAATGAATTAGTCTACACAGAGGCATACACGGTACTAAGGAGGCCTTGGGAGGGGGGGGCTGCATCTGTGTGAGGCTCAGAGGCACTGGACCAGGTACACAGGCACCTCGAAGAGTCCTGATGTGAAAGGGAAAGTGTTAGTCACTCAGTTGAGTCCGACTCTTTGGATTCCTGGACTGTAGCCCACCAGGCTCCTCTGTCCACGGGATTTCCCAGGCAAGAATACTGGAGTGGGTTGCAATTCCCTCCTCCAGGGGATCTTCCTGACCCAGGGACTGGACTCAGATCTCCTGCACTGCAGGCGGATTCTTGACTGTCTGAACCACCGGGGAATCCAAGTGTCCTTACACTGAGGCCCATGGTGGGGGACTGACTTGCCCAGGACTATGCAGTGGAGCACAGAACTGGATCTAGAACCCAGGGACTTGACTCCCAACCCAGTGCTCCTTCTATAGTCCCACAGTCTGCCTCTGGGGGCCCCAAGGATGAGAAGCCAATGTTAAGTCTTCCTCCATTCATACATCCTGGTCCTGGAAAGGCACATGATCTGGGGGCACTCGACATGGCAGAGGGGGCCAAAGGATAGACCTCAGGTGGGGCAGAGATTCGGCAGTGCTGGCCAGGCCCCTGTCCACTTCTGGGCACAGCCTCAAAGGCTTTCCTGACTCTTCACTGAGGCTGGGGGTCTTCAATCCAGACACACGGCTCTTCTTGAGTCCCCCCAGTCATATGGTATTTTGATTCCATGCATATGCTTTAGGCTCCAATTCCTAGCCAGCCCTACTTACCATCCTTAAAGAATGCTGAATGCCTTGAACAAGTTACGTAACAGCTCTCAGTCTTGATTTCCCCATCTGTAAAATGGGGACAATTATGCTACACTTCATAGGGCTGTTGTTAGCTCTAAATAGGAAAATGGATGTATTGAGTTGAGCATGGGGCTAGCAATAGAATGCACCTTCAGTAAATGCCAGCTCTCCTTTTCCTTAAAGCACTTTGTAAACTGTAACATGCTTTATACTAATAATTTCTTGCACATACCCCCTGATACATACATATTCAGAATGCTCTGTCTACATGGGAACTGAGTTTTTGTTGAATGAATGGATGAGTGCATGAATTAATGCTTCCTTGGGGTTGAAAGATACCCCCTGCCCTCTCCTTTGGACACTGAGGCCTGGGTTAAGCCTCACAGGCCCCTACAGCTCTGCTTTCTACTTCAGTGGAGCCCTTTGGAGGGCTTCCATCCCTCCCCTATCTCCTTTCAGAAATGACCTCACCCCCCTTCATCACCCCCCTCCCCACCAGGAGAATGAGGCCTGAGGGGTTGGGGGGATGTACCTGGGGGTATGGAAAACTTCATTCCTCTCAGTCTGTTTGCTGCCCCTGTCTTTTCTTCCTTCAGAAAAATGGAACAAGTTTTTCTCACTCGACACATTTCAACTTTTTTTTTAGAAGATACAATAAAAAACAGGGGAAAATTGGAACAGAGGGAGGTGTGGGATGGGCCCGCCTTAGACATGAGCTTGAAGGAGGTATAAAACACACGTGTCCACATACACATGAACAAGCATGAACAGACAGGGACGCCGTGCACCTCTCTGTGCACCCAGAGAGGCAGAGATGCGGGGATAGAGAGACAGAAAGCGCCAGAAATGGAAGGAAGGAGATGGAAGAAGAAGGACACCCAGAGATGCCATCTGTTCCTCCCCCTGGCATTGGGGGAAGGGAGTTGGTGAGGGGCCTGGTCCCCTCTGGGTCTCTGAGAGGGAAAGGGGAAGGGTAGGCATCTCAGGCAAGCCTGGAAGATTCCCATTTCTGTTACCCACCCCCATCCAGGGAGCCGGGAGCTGAGGGTCTGAGGTTCCCATGGAGACATAGCCCCATCCCAGGGGAGGCCACTGTCTGGGCACCTAAAATGGCTGCCTCAGAGGGGTGGCGGCCATTTTGTGCAGGCGTAGGTCCCGGGTTGGCAGGGGTGGGGCCTTGGGGGTGTAGAGGGGAGCGAGCCTGAGGGGATAGGTCATTCCTGAGCAGTCTAGGGAATCTTGCTCAGAGAACTGGAGAATGTTGTATAAAGCTGCTCTCATTACGCCCCCTGCTACACCAAAAAAAAAAAAAAAACCACACACACACACACACATAAATCTGTAAACCTACATTCCATTCAGACACCCAGAAGGACACCTAGCCAGACACTTGCCACCAACATCACCATGCTCCAAATAAGACTGGTGGGGGCAAGTGTGCTGGGGAAGGGGACTTGATTTCCCACCAAAGGGCCGAACCGTGGGGAGCAAGTGGGTTTGAGTCCAGGCGTCCATGCCCCTCAGCCATTTAACTCCATCTCCCGGGCGCTGCCAGGCTGAGGTGGTCTGGCAGGTGAAGAGTGAGGGCAGGAGCAGGACAAGGAGGGCACGGTCTCCCCGTCTCCCCCCCGCCCCGCCCCGGCTCTGATTTGAGGTGAAGGGCAGGAATATGGGGGTTCTCGGAGGGCCTGTGGTTCTGGCACAGTGTGCTGTGGCGAGGGAGGGAGGGGAGGGGGCCGGCTGGCACTGCCCACACGGTGACTCTGCCATCGGCCGGAGGCGTGAAGGGCCCTTCCGAAGCCCCGGAGAGCCTGCCGCCCTCCCCCCGCCCCCGTGCACCCCCAGTCGGACGGGACGTGGGGGGCGGGGACCTGCCGCGTCTTCCCGGCTCTGGGGGGGCACCTGCCCCCTCCCCCCGCCCGCCGCAGTGTGCTGGGGAGCGGTGGGCACGCCAGATGGCGTGGCTGAGAATGCGGCGACGTTGCCGGGAGGTGAGGGCTGGCACGGGCGATGTGCGGCTGCGTGCCTCGTGGTGCCACCGGGGAGGGCGGGGGCGGACCGGTGAGGTGTAGCCCCCCATGCTCCGTGCTGACCTGTCCTGACCGCCAGCTCACCGCCAGCGTTTGCACTGACATCCTTTGCCTGCTGCCCTGGGCTCCCGCGCCGGGCCCAGGCCCCACCCAAAGATAGGTGGGCACCTGCCCACAGCACCAGGCCTGATCTGAAAGTCTTGAGTCGGACCCCTGCTGCACACCTTCCTAATCTGGGACAGAGGGCCATGAGGAGACCCACTGACCCTCCTGCAAAGCCAGCCCCGCGCAGGATTGTTGCCTTGCTACAAAAGTACAGTGACCTGTGCCCCATAACCTTTGCCTTCTGGCATCTGGGCGCTGTTTTGTTTTGAAAAGAGCTCCTTCCCTAATGGGCTGTAGTCTCTGAGTCTCTTTTTTCTTCAAATTCATTCTCATTCCTCACCAAGAGCGGTCCTACTTGGACACCTCCTCCTGGGTGTCTTCCCTGATCTCCTCCTGGCAATTTCAGTACTTACCACCCACTGTTAGGACAAACCATTCGCTCATGTCTCCCTGACTTGACTGTGGTGGCTATTTACCTTATATCTCAGTAGTCTGGGGCTTCACACAGGTTGCACAGAGTTGATGTTCAATAAATGCTCCTTGTATTAGTGCCTAGCTGACTTAGAGGGTTTGGGGTACTGGAGCCTATCTCCAGAGAATCTCCTAAAGCAGTAAGTTCTAAGGTCGCAGGTCAAGCCCAGAGCCCTCAGACTCCTCCTGCTGCCTTCTGCACAAATTTCAGTCTGGGGAGGAGGACTTGGGATGGGGTGGTGGGTCACGGGTTTTCCTTCGAGTGGCTCTCAGAGAAGGGGCTCTGTGCATGGAGGCTGAGTCTGGGGGTGCTGGGCCCCCATTCCCTGGGCACGAAGCTCAGACTCAGGGCACATGAGGTCCCTCACTGCCTCCCCCTCCTGGGGGGTTCCTGCCCAGCTGCAGACCCCCTTCTTGGGCTTCATATCTCTCAGCAGGCTCAGTGCCCCTCTCCTACCCCTTGTCCTACCCCACACCTTCCTTGCAAGGGGTAAATGCAACTTGTCACAGGGACGGGAGATGAGGTCCAGGGACGCCGCTGAGTTGTCCCACTCCCACTGCCATTTCTTCTTTGCTGATGCTGCTCCCCAAAGCCACCCCCAATACCTCAACCCTCATTTGTGGGTCTGGCTCAGCCTCTCCTCCCTGGAAAGTTCTGACTTCCTGCAGGCCCTTGCTCCTCTGGCTTCCTCAGAAGGACTGGGAGTGTTCATCGTGCCCATTCCATGGAAAAGTCAAATCTGAATGTAGTATCACCCTCATCGGGCACCTTCAGTGGCTCCCCATCACCCCTAGGGTCAGGCCTTGCTCCTTAGGAACAACTGGATCTGGTTGCTGTGCAGTTCTCTCTGTGTGTTTGTCCCTGTCTTGAAATCTGCCCCTCAGCCACTCTAAGCTCCTCCAGCTTTCACCAGCATCCTGCCTGTGAGCTTGCTCAGGCTGTCCCCTCTGCATGGAGCACCCTCCACTTTCTTCATCTTTTAAACCTAAGCACCACCTCCTCCAGGAAGCCTCTCTGGGTTAGATGCCCTCCTCTGACTCCCCTAATGCCTTCTGCACACCCCTAGGGGAGGCACGGGCTTCCCTGGTGGCTCAGGGGTAAAGAATGTGCCTGCCAATGCAGGGGACACAGGTTCGATCCCTGGGTCAGGAAGATCCACTGGAGAAGGAAATGGCAACCCACTCCAGTATTCTTGCCTGGAGAATCCCATGGACAGAGGAGCCTGGTGGGCTACAGTCCTTGGGATGGTAAAGAGTCAGATACAACTTAGCAACTAAATGATGATGACAGGGAGGCGCAGGCCATGACCTTTGCCGCACAGGTCTCTCTCACCTGGTAGGCAGTAACTAGGTAAGGGGTCTGACACCCACGATATCCTCAATAAGTGGCTCAAAGGCCTGTCCCCTCGTTGTCCAGAAACTGAATGCTGGAGCCAGGGCAGGACACCAGCCCATGGGCAGCTTCCCTTCCTTTCCCCTCAGTCTCCCTGCAACCTCAGCACTGACATAGAACATCAGCCTTCCCCTCTGTAAAATGGGCATGATCATTACAATGAGATGCCTGTGGAGCATCAAATGAACAAACAGGTGTGGAAGCGCTGCCTCCAGGTATGGCTGCTCTGGCCTCAAGCCCCTGAGCAGCTGTATTTAAAAAAAAAACAACTTTGTTCCTGAAGTTCTGTTCATCACCACATCTTTGTTCTGCTTTTCTTGTCACTTTTCCAAGTGAGCAGTTGGGATGTCCTGCCCCTGCCCCTCCATGGGTCCGGCCCGCAGAGGAAGGCAGTCAGACGAAGAGGGAGCTCAAGGTAGTCCAAAGACCACCAGACTTAGCAGGGTCTCAACCTTGATCAAATCATGTAACCCTCTTCTTCCGCATCTGTAAAATGGGAATAGTGCCACGTGTCCACCTGCTGTCTCTCTCAGTGCTGATGGGAGGACAAAACGACAGTGCTCCGGGTGGTTGAGTCCTGATTGACGGCGGATTGTGGGCACCCAGCGGGGCAGTGCAGGGCAGTGGGAAAAGCACAGGACAGCGTGTGTCCCAGGCTCTCTTTCCTCCGGGCGGGCTCTGCTTTGAACTTGCCCATGACTTGGGCATGCCCTGATGTCCTCCCCTGGAAATCAGAACTCGGCAGCTGGGTTGGGGACTCCTGGGAGCCTGGCACTGGAAAGTTCTCAGATGCCTGAGCCCAGCGTTGGAGCATGGTGGCACCTGAGTCTGGCAGTGGGCACAGATGACCCGCAACTGCAGTGGTGCTGGCGCTCACAGGAGGGCAGCGTCAAAAAGCCATGCATGGAGGGTGCACGTAGAGGGCAGAGCCAGCAGGGCAGGAGATCATAATTTAACCTCCTGGTTTAGCCCCTGGGAAACTGGAGCCCAGGACAGTGTGCATGAGACTTAGCTGTTACTTCCTTAGTTCAGTACCCTGAGCGGTCAGGGGGCATGGGGAAAGAAGGGAACAGTTGAGGGTTAGGAGCCTCGAGGCCCAATGCCCCACCTTACAGATTAAAAAAACCCCTCATCACAGAAAGGGGACGCAACCTGCCCAGTGTCACACGAGTGCTGACAGAGCTGGGACGAGAAATGAGGACCTGATTACCTCTTGCGGGTCCTCCTGTCCCTCGGGCTTTAGAGCTCTCTGTAATAACGAAATATTTTATAATCCATAATAATGAAATGACAGCGGTAGTGTTATCGGCGCTGGGCCCTGGCTTCACTCACACACAATCTTATTTCATTCTCACCATGACCTCAGATGTGGGATGACTGTTAACTCCACTTAAAGACAAGATGCTGAAGCCCAGAGGGGTTGAGGTTAAGGCTGCTGAACCCAGCTCTGTCTGACTGAATCCAGCCGCTTACTCACTTTTACATATGGTGTTCCTTTCTCTGAAACCCAGGTTATCTCTACACTGTGGGACCAGTGGGCTTTCCAGGTGGCACTAGTGGTAAAGAACCCGCCTTCCAATGCAGGAGACATGAGACAAGATCCCCTGGAGGAGGACATGGAAACCCACTCTAGTATCCTTGCCTGGAGAATCCCATGGACAGAGGAGCCTGGAGGGGTACAGTTCATAGGGTTGCCGCAGAGTCGGGCACGACTGAGGTGACTTAGCACATGGGACCAGTAGACTTTAAAGGAGAGAGGGAAAGGAGGGGGCCCCTGGAAGATATAGTGCCAAGGGTTTGCCTGTAGTCCAGGCCCCCACATAATGGGAGCCAGTGTCCCTGCCTGGATCTCTGCAGTTCAATTCATGGGTAGGTGGGGGTGGGGTCCCTCTGGACAGTGAAACGTGCAGTCACTTCAAACATGGGGTTTATCCATCCAGTATCCCTCTTCCTTCAGCTCCTTTAGGAGGTGCTCTCCTCAGCTTTGCAGGTTTGGTGAGATGCTTCCTTCACCAGGAAGCCCTCCCTGATGCCCTCTGGGGAAATGTCGCTCTTTCCTCTGGCCCTTGGCTCCAACTTGAGCACTTGGGATGGACAAACCAGCTGGAACCCCCGGTTTACAGCTTGATCACTAGCCACCTGCCAGGTCATTCTGTTTTTCCCTCTGTAAAGTGGGAATAGGGAGCCCTGCCGCACAGAATCTTTGAGAGGACTGGAAGCGAAGTGGTGTCTTATGAGGAAGCTCCTGGCACTCCTCCTCCTTGTCCTTCTCACTCCAGCTTTCTCCCGGATCTCTCCTCATCACCCCCGCCGCGTGCCCAGCAGAGGACCTGGCGCGCCCCGCCGCCGGTTCCCGGCTCGCAGCCTGCCCTGCCGCCGCCGGGCTCCCTCGGCACGTGCCGCGAGCCCCGTGGGGCCGCGTCACCTCCTGGGAGGCCTCGGCACGCGCCCTCTCGCCCCGAGCCCGGCTCCGGCCGCCAGTTGTCTCCGGGAAAGGGGTCAGACGGGCAGCCGGGAGGTGGGGTGGGCGGAGGCGGGAGAGGGCGGCTGCGGGAAGAGGACGCTGCCCCTTTAAGGTGCCACCGCCGCGTGGCAGGGAAACAGCTTGTGCCAGCCCCATTCCGCCCGGCTCCGCTCGCGACAAGAAACACAATGCATAACAATCAGGCGCGCGCTTGGAGCCGTGCCACGCGGCGGGGGCGGGGCGGGGCCGCGGGCGGGCCGGGGGGCGCCCAGGTCTCGACCCTCGACCGGCGTCCGGTGGCCGCGGGCGGGCCGGGACCCTGCGCTGCCCCGCGCGGCCGCTCCGCGCCCCGAGAGGTGGCCCAGCGCCCCGGCGTCCCCCCGCCTCGCCCCGCTCGCCTCCCTCTCCCTCCCCGCCTTCGCGCTCCCTACAAAGTTCATTCCCACTAACTCTTTTCCAGGCCACTTCCCCCTCACATCTGACAATCCGGGGCCCCTCATTCTCCCAGTAATCACTTCACTGCACTAATTGCACATGCAAATATGCAAATGCGTATTAATTAATTACTATACTAATTAGTTCTGTGGTATTTGCGAGTAATAAATCATTGGATGGGAGCGAGGAAGCTGGAGACCTGGCCCATTTTCATTCTGCATAAAATTTTAATGGTCTCTCTGGCTGATCCGGGACGGCTTCGCGCGGAGAGGCTCTTAAAGGGCCAGTGGCGGCGGGAAGGGGCGCGGGGCACAGAGCGCGGGGCGACCCCGGCCCTGGGCGGGTTTGCAGGTGCAGCCCTACGCCCTGCAGAGGCGGTCTAGGGCACGGGCTTGGCTTTTCTCCTCCCCTCCCGGGCGAAGGGTCCTCCTGGGTGCCTTCTAAGGCGAGAATCCAGGCGAGGAGGAAGAGGAGGAGGCCGAGCTTGGCTGCTTTAAGAAAGGAAAGAGGGCAAGGAGCTGTGAGAGGCCAATGACAAGGCCTTTGAGGCCCCAGGAAAACAGAAATGAAGACTCCATCGCCAGGATGGCTGAGTAAACTAAGGCACGGACAGGCCAAGCTAAGCTCTCAGCCCAGCGGACCCCCAGGGGGAGAAAGCCTCCGGGATGTCTTGGGTGCCCTAATCCTGTCTCATCCTGTCTCTGATGGGGGCCACCAAGGCTGGGGGTACCTCCAACTTTTCCTTTCCGCAAGATCAAGCTGCTGCCCCACCCCCATGGGCACCAGCTGGCACCCTGGCAGAGCAGTCCTAGACTTGAGTGGGCCCCTGGGACCCTCCTTTTTTTCTGGGAGGTAGTCAGGACCTGGGCACAGGGAGGGGGCTGGCGGCTTCACAGGACCATTGACTCAGGGAGGCAGACGGTTGTGCCTCCTGACTGAGCCCAAGCCAGGCTCTAGGGGGAGGTCAGAGGTGGGGACATTGAGGAAGTGGAGGCTTTGGGCCTGTCCTGAGCCGGGATCTCCAACACCAGAGTCTTCAGTCCTGGTTCTACTCACCCTCCAAACTTCATCCCACATGGGCAAGCCCCTGGTGGGGCAAGGCTTAAAGAGAGTCAGTGCTCTAGTGGGGTCGGTAATAGTGACAGCAGCTCACCATACTGTTAATTCGGGGGAACATTTATTTAGCTGGAGACCTGTTCTGAGAATTCTAGGTGGCTCACAACCCGCCAGTGACGTAGTGTCTATCAAAGGCCCTTTCATGGATGGAGAAACACAAACGCAGGCACGAGACAGCTAAGCAATCTGCCCAAGGTCACTCAGCTGCGAGGAGTGGAGTGGGATTTCAGTCCAGTCTTGACACCTGGGTTCTTTTTGCCACCCTTTGCACTTCTCTCTCCACCATCATGTCCCCTGTGGTAAGGATAAGAACTTCATGGGTGGAGTCTCATATAACCCAAGAGGGAGGGACTGGGATTCTCCCCAGTCTAGAGCTAGGGAACCCAAGGCTCAGAGAGGGTGACTAAGTTGCTCTGGGTGCACAGGGGGGATGTAGTCAGCCAGGCTCACACTGGGCTGTGAGCCACAGAGGCCAGCAGGTCTCCAGGGGTCTGGCAGGAAAGGGTCCTGACGGCTACTAGAACAAGAGAAGAAATGGAAGGGATTTCCGTTAGACGGACTGTGGGGACAACTTACTTTTTGAGAGGTGGGGGCTCCAGGAGTAGGGTGGCATGGAAGCTCTTCCTTCTTTCCCAAGAAGCAGACTGGGGAAAGGCCATGGCTACCTGAGTCAGGAGGAGGTGGGGACAGAGGAATGTGAGGGAACAGAAGGGCCCAGAATGAGAGAGCCCAGTCAGAACCACAGAACTCAGAAATCCTGGTTAATTTTTCTGAATTTTGTCCCCAGACTGCCTATCTGCTCCCACCCCTGGAAATCTCCTGAGCACCCCCACCCCAAGATTTGCTATTTGTGGGGAGCTAGGAGATCCAGTCTCTGCTCTCATCTCAGCAGAGGGATGAGAAAGCTAACACTGTTACATGACTGTAAGCACCTACTATGTGCCAGGAACTTTGTATGCCTCTAATTTTCACAACAGTTGTGTAATTATTATCCCTATTTTATAAATGGAGACACTGAGGAAGGAAAGAGAAGTTATTTGCCCAAGGTCACACAGCTAGTAGGTGGGAGACAGGGATTTGAACTCCCAATCTGATGTGCTTTACCACATAATTCCCCATTTCCAACTGAGCTCCTTGTATCTATAGGGGCATGGCCAGATTGACCCTTTTGCCTAGCAGAGTCAGTAGCAGAACACAGTAGCAGCAGGCATTTCACCTGGAACTTACAGATAAAAAGAACAGGTCTCCTGTCTGTCATTCACAAGACCCCCCCCCCCACCCCACCCTGTGTGGATTTTCATGGTGCCTTTTATATGCTAGTGGAAATTGGGCAAAGTGTATATTCTAAAGGCCCAGATCCCTCCTCTCATTATCCTGGGGCTGAGTGTGTGTGGGCATCTCCCCAGAACAGGGAGCTCTCCCAGCATTCCTTGCCCCCCATCCCCCCCCCCCCCCACCCCTTGAGAGAACAGCAGGGTCAGTGAGTCTGTTAGCATCTGTCAGGGAGACCACCCTGAATCGGGAACTGAGATTCCAGTGCACTCAGGGATGAGTCCAGGGTCCCTTCACCTTCCAGTTGCTCAGGGAACTTCTCTAGGGAATAGGGACACTGCATCTCCCCAGGAACTAAGAAACTTCTGACATCTACCCTCTGGGACAGGCAGTCGTGGGTTGGGGGTTAGAGGGTGTTAGAATGGCCTTTGGGCTGCATAAAAATCCTCCTCCCCTTTCCACTCCACTGAAGCCCAGGGAAGCTGGGGTTTCATCAGGGTTTCCCCCACACATGCCCAGTTCTTGGGAGATTGGGGGCAAGTTAGCGAGTTGGGGGAAGGAGGCAGGAGGGGCAGGCTGGCGGCTCTGAGCTTCTCCACGCAGCCCTCGGGGCCGGGTGCCTGGGCAGGAGGGGGGGCAGAGCAGCTGCTGGCGATTTATTAAGCAGTCACGGAAAAATTGGTTTATAAATTAACAGCTGTTTTAACTTTAGGGCCTCTTCTTCAGGGAATGGAAGCAGCCGACTGGACCGGGATTGGAGTGTGTGTGAGGCTGGTGGAGGGGGTGGGAGGCGGCAGGCTCCGGCAGCTGGCGTTCTTTGGGGGCAGCCTCAGCTGGCACCTCGGGGGGCACCAGGCAGTGGCCAGAGCAGGGGGTCTCCAGGTGCCCGGGGCCGAGGCTGCCCCCGCTGTGGGCTGTCGGCTTGCTCATTCTTCTCATCAGCATCCCACCTGGGGGCGCCAGAGGGCACAGATACCGCTATACTCATATCTGCCACCAGAGGGCAGCCTCCACACATTGATTTTTGCTTCCCACCCAGATCCGTCCAACCTGGGCTGAGAGAGAGAGAAACTGGGACCAATATAGAGCAAGGGAGAAGCCCAGTTCAGTGCATGCAAGAGTTCTTTTACTCGCCCATCCCGAATGTATTAAAGACAGCAGGAAGAGTGGGAATTCTGGAGTCAGATGGTCTGCCTTTGAACCCAGGCTGTGGGCAGAGGTTCTGAGCCTCATTTCCCTCATCTGTAAAATGGAGTGAATCTACTGAGGATTAAATGAGCTAATACATATAAAAGGCCTAGCCCAGTGTCCACAACAGAGTAACGCTCTCTATATGCCAATTTCTATGACTTATGTATTTATCTATTGATTCATTCCTCAAGCCATTGCCTCTACAGCATTTAGTGCTACTGTACTCTGGGCACTATAGCAGGAAGGTGATGATGCAAAGATAGATAATGGGTAGGACATGTCTCAAAATAGTGTGCTAAGAGTTAAGACACACCCAGTAAGGGGGGAGGGGAGATTTACTTGGATAGGGCAAAAGAGAACATTTGAGGATGATGGCAGTGGTCATGTGCTGAATAACATTTTCAAAAACTCATAGACATGTATATTTTAATTTACGTTTTATTGATACATTTTATAGCATATAAACTGTAATTCAATAGAGTTTTTTTTAAAGGCACTGAATGTGAATTTATTGAATGGGCCAAGGGTTGGATGATGGATGAATGAATGAACGTGTGTCAGTGAATGCTCAGATGATTGCCTCCTGTCCTGGTGTCACCAGTGTCCCTACTGCGAGTGCCCTTGCTCTCTCCTCTCGGTGTCCAGGGGTTTTCTCAGAGGCGGGTCTTGGAGTCCCCAACATCCTCTTCCCCCTCCCCATTTCCCCCCTCCTCACCACCAGCAGTGGCAGGGAAAGATGCCCCAGTGTGCCCTGCTAACGCTCCCTGGCTTCTCTAAGATTGCTTCCCAGGACTTCTGGGGACCTCCTTTCCAGATGCCACGTGTCAACCCAGCCAGCTAAACTCAGCTCCACGGTGTCAAGGTCAGGAGTGTGACGCCCAGCCACGGACCCGCAATGCCAGCAGCTCGGCAGCCCAAACCCTGGTCAGCTCTGCCACTTGCTGGCCACTTTAGGAACTGCATCCCTAGCGCTCTTAGGAAAGGGTTAGTTGCTCTGTCTTGTCCGTCTCTTTGCGACCCCACGGACCCCACGGACCCGGCCAGGCTCCTCTGTCCATGGGGATTCTCCAGGCAAGAATACTGGAGTGGGTAGGCATTCCCTTCTCCAGGAGATCTTCCCGACCCAGGGATCGAACCCGGGTCTCCTGCATTGCAGGCAGATTCTGTACCATCCGAGCCAGCAGAGAAACCCTCTAGAGAAGCTGGAATCTTTACTGAATACTGACCAGGATCCTTGCCTTGGGCTGGGGACTTTATTAATTTTATCTTTTTGAATCGTCACAGGTACCATTGAGGTGGGTTTGGGGGCAGGAGGAAACAGGCATAGTGAGGCTAAAACATTTATTGTCTAAAATCACACAGTCTCCAGGTCTGTCCAACTCCGAAGTTTATGTTCTGTCCATGAGACTGTATCTTGCTTGGGAGAAGGGAGGGAATATTCAGATTGTCCACTCTCCCTGCCTTCCCAAAAGAGAGCAAAGGCTTCACGCTTCCAGAGAAGGTGAATGTAGAGCCTCCTGTATGCTGGGCGCTGTGGCAGGCAACAGGCAATGATGTGAGAGAACTGGTGTGCTCAAAATAGTGTGATCAGACCTGCTCTGTACGTTAACAGACACCCTATGACAAACTTTTTTGGTTAGTCCAAGCAGAAAGACCCATTGCTCAATCAGAGTTAAGTCAAACAAGGTCTTGAATTTGTTCCTTGGACCCAACTGCGTGTGCTTCTAACTCAAGAATAATAACCAAGGAGTGGCACATTATTTTTACATCTCATTTGCATATGATTAATTCTAAGAGAGAAGGGAGGTCACCCTGGCCCCTTGCTTCTCAGCTACTCTGGGATATTCCTGACCCTGGCCACCTCTCCCAGCCCCAGCTGGACTCCCCCATCCTCGCCAGGCCCTCCCCACTCCTTGCCCCTGCCCACACTTCCCCCAGCCCCCAGAAGTGCCTGTCCCTCCCTCCTCTGTCACCCACGCAGCCCCCGCCACCTGGCCGCCCACCTGAAAAACTTTTCCCCAAGTTCTTGAGAAGTCGCGTAGGATCCAGGAGAGAAAAATCAAAGTAATAAAACCTCATTTAATTCCTAACGGAGGGCAGAGCTGTGAGCTGCAATTATCTTAATGTGGAGCTATTTTTACTCTCTCTCCATCTCTGTCTCCTGCCTCTCTCTGTCGTGAGGCTTCCTCTCTCTCTGTCTCCATCTCTCCCATGTGTTTTCTCGCTCTTTCTTTTCCACGTTTCCTACCTCCCCCTCCTTTCTCTTTCACCTCTTGTCTCTGCCATCCTTCCTTCCTTCTCCTTCCTGTCTGTCCCTTGTGCCTGTACCCCTGTGAGCCAAGTTCCCCCATCCTGCTTGGCCCCAGGGTTTAGCAGCCAGAGCTGCAGGTGCCTGGGTAAAGATTGGAAGAAAGGGAAAAGATCCTCCTCTCTAGGCCTGAAGACCCCGTCTTTCGGGGTTACCCAGGAGAGGAGAGTCTCCCTTCCAGCTGCCCCAGCCTGGGTCTAGGGAGCTTTTCCTGATTCAGGGCCACCCAGAACTCCAACCCTTTTGGCAGAACCTCTGTGAACAGGCCCTCCCTGGCCAAAGGAGCCTCATCAACTGTGGTCCCAAAGGCCCTCTCAGCTCCAATGGGCCCTGAGTTTCCCCTGGGAGTGATGTCTCCCTGTCCTTGCCCTCTCATTATCTGTCCAGCTGTCTTCTGTCCCCTTCACCCCACCCAGGACCTTCTTACCCCCCTAGCACTGGAAGCCACAGATCTCTCAGCCTCCTCTTGGCCCAGTGGCCACACAGGTTACTGCCTGGGCCGTGCCTTTCCTGTGCCCCTTCTGACCCTTGTGACCTCCTCATTTTCCTTCCAGGGCACTGCCAAATTGGTGTTTACCACCTCCCACCACAACCCATCTGACAGAGGGGTCTGGGCCAAGCCAGGGACTGCCAGAGGCCCACACCCCAGGGCCAGGGACCTAGCATCTGGCTCTTTCCCCACAAGCATAAAAGTCAACAAACACAGCGGGACTTGAGCCAGGCCTGAGGGTGGGGGAGCGGTGCTGCCCAGCGGCCAGGCCTTCCAGCGCCCATGGGCAAAGCTCTGCTCCCATTCCCTCTCCTCATCCCCAGAGCAGGCGCTGACTCTGGGGTGCTGCGCCGTGCCCCTGACCCCATTTTCACAAGACTCCGCTGGCCTTTTGCTTCCTTCTCACTCTGCCAAGGGCCCAGCGTGCTTGGCCTGGGAGTGGAAAAGTTGCTGGCTGGGGGAGGGGGGCTTCTGACTGTTCCAGGCCTGAGCGTGACCAGGAGAGAAGAGAGCCAAGGCACACACAGCCCCAGGAAGACACACACACGTACAAGTCTACACACACACACCCGCTCAGAGCGGCACTCAGACCCTCACCCCTGGGCCCGAGGAGGGAAACACCAGTTCCTGCCAAGGCACCCAGCACCAGATGATAAATAAACAGGGCCACTCCAAACCACAGGGCCATCTCCTCCCTTTTCCCCCCTTCAGAGACACATGCAAACACCTCTGCAGAGAAAGAGAGGCTCACACCTCCAAATGAGCACACACACACCTCTCCCCTTGCTCTATTCCTGCACCAAACTCACACGTGACGGCACGTGTACACCCCAACTCCCCCAACCCTATCCCCCTGAGCTGGCTCTGTCTCCCCCACATCATATCTGGGGAGAACAGGCAGGAGACACGTGAATCTGGGGTACCTCACAGCACGGACACATTCCCCCCGCCCCACAAGAGCCCTCCCGGATCACACCTTGCCCCCTCTACTGTTCCTGCTGGACCTGTGCATGCGGCGCTCCCAGCCCGCTGCGAGCTGGCACAGCCTGCCCATCACCGTGACAGCCTCTGACATCCGCCCCCGTGCACACACGGCCTTCCCACACCCTGCCACTCACACCTGCATCCCTGCCCCTCTCACACACTTACTCACGTAGACTCTCTCACCACTCGGACCCCCCCCCCACACACACACTCCCCAGCTTCAGGCGCCCGCAGGGCCCCTGGCACTCACTTGCACACACTCCCTGCCATGATGACTGACATGTGTCCTCCCACGCACACCCCGCTCCTTCACGCTCACTCGCTTTCTAGGACACCCCCATTCACAGCGTGACACGCTGGTGCTATTCTCTCCACGACCTCACAGCCTCCCCGCGAAACTCCAAGCACCCAGACCAGGAAGGGGTTAAAGTCAGAGTCCCAGGGCCCCGCGGCCCCGCTCCCCTCGGCCTCCCCCCATTATCCTCCCTGCTGCACTCCATCAATAATGCAGCTTCAAGTTCTGGGGAGTCGGCAGGGGGCCCCCAGGCCGCTCCCGCGGTCCCGGCTCACACTCCCCGCCCTCCTCCCGGCCCGGGAGAACAGGCTCCCCGGCGCCCATTGGCCGCGGTCTCCTGAGCCCTCCCACCAAGCGCCGGGGCGCCAGTCCCAGGCCGAGGGGACGGGCTGGGGACCCCAAGGCTGGGGCCGGAGGGCGAGACCCGGAGAGAAGGAGCGAAGCAGAGACAGAGGGAGACTCGCGGAGAGGGAGCGAGGGAGATCGAGGAAGGTTGGAGAGACAGAGAGCGAGGGAAGGAGGGACAGAGACCAGACCCGCGAGCCCGAGGTGCGGGCGCCGGGGGACCGAGGCACCCAGGGGCCCCAGAGCCGCGAGCCGGCGGCCGCCCCCCACCCCCGCGCGCCCTCCCCTCGCCGGCGCGGTATTTTTATCTGTGCGTGAACAGCCCTCCAGCTCCTCTCTGCCGCACTCAGCCCGCTGCCACCGCGGCGCCCGAAGCAGCGCGGGGGAGCGGAGCCGGGATCGCAGCCCGAGACCCCACGACGCGAGCCCCGCCCGCCATGGACCCCAAGGACCGCAAGAAGATCCAGTTCTCCGTGCCCGCGCCCCCCAGCCAGCTCGACCCCCGCCAGGTGGAGATGGTAAGGGGGCTGCGCCCCACCCCTGGCAGCGCCCCCCTACCCTACCCCCACTCCCCGACTCCTTTGCGCTCCGGGATCCGAACTGGCCTGGGGGACGCGGGCGCCCGGCCCGCCTCGGACGCAGCGGGGGCGCGGGGCAGCGCGTGAAGTTCACCGGAGACTCCTGTAACTTTTTCCCTTTCCCGGGACCTCGCACCTGATCCCGGGGCGGGAGACTCCCCGGCGGCCCCAGAGAGGGAGGACTGTCCTCCGGACCCTGCACAGTGTCCTCCTTCCCTGGGGTCCCTCGGGGACCACTGGTATGACAAACATGGGCCACTGACCCGTTATACAAAGCGGGCTTGCGCCTGCCTGCCCCACGTTCTGGCCATCTCTCTAGTCCCACCCTGCATACCTTGGCTGGGGTCACCCGAGCCTTGTCCTGACCTCTAGATAAAGCCACAACATGGGCGAGGCGGGGGCGGGTGGAGAGAGAAATGATGACCAGTCATCCCAGAAGGCGGAAGTCCTAAGACAGACATCTGAGTCCTCTGGACAGCATTCCTGGGGACTGGGTACCAGAGGCCTCCAAAGGTGGGGATGAGATGTGGGACCTGATGGCGAAAGAGACACGAGTTTTGTGCGGGCACCCCCCCTCCACTTAGCCATTCACTTGTTGCTGTTGTTGGGAAGCGGCTGGCACCCGACAGAGCAGAGAGAGGGGGGCCAAGTCGTTTTGCTGCGTTGGTGGGGCGGCGGGGAGACCGGTTGGGGCCCTGGCCCAAGCAGCTTTTGATCTGGAGGGCAGTGTTGGGAGATTGTCAGGGGGAGGTGGCAGTTTCAGCTTAATTCACCTGGTTCTCTTTGTGCATGTCCCTGGAGCTCAAAGAGGACCTAATTAACTGACAGTGGATCTGACTGCCAAGCTAGGGGGAAGGGTGGGGGAGTTACTGGGAGTACTGAGTGCCCCCCGCCTTCAGCTTGGCTTATGTATCAAAGAGGGCGACTTTGGAGGTTTTATGAGCACTGGGTGAAGAGTTCCACAGCCTGAGTGATACTGTAGAGGGGCCCAGACCCAGGCCCAGGGAGTCGGAGGCTCAGGCGCATGCCTGAGCCTCAGGGTGAGGTTGGAGGTGCCTGCTGTTGAGGCTCAGCCTCCCTCTGCAGCTGGGGCTGGTTTCTTTGGAGCCCTGAGCTGGCCCTAGGTGGGCAGGGCCACGTGAGTGCCATCTTCCACAGCCAGCGTGGGGTCCTGAGGTCTGATGTCTTCACCAAGGGGAGAGGGAGGGCCGTGGCAGGGGAAGAAACGAGGGAGGTGGCAGTTCTGGAGTGACCACAGAGGGAGGCGGCCATCGGCTGGCAGCCAGAGGTGGGCTTTTCTTGCCCTTCTCTGCCTTGCCGTGCTGTGTGGCTTGACCTCTTTGCTAAAACTCTCTGAGCCTTGGGTTTTCACCTCGGTAAAGTGAGGGGGTTCGGTGAGCTCTGGAGTCCCTTTCAGCTCTGACAGTCTTTGATTCAAAGGTTCCCTGGGGACTCCAAAGCACAGTTTGTTCCCTGCTGCCTGGGTGGGGGGTGGGGAGTGGGCTGCAAGAGTCCTGCCCTCCCTTCTCCCCGTTTCTGTCTCCTTAGATCCGGCGCAGGAGACCAACCCCTGCCATGCTGTTCCGGCTCTCAGAGCACTCCTCACCAGGTGGGCCCCTTCCCTGCCCCCTAGTCCTGGCCCCACCCTAACTGCGATGCTTTCTGGGGGCCCCTGCCAAAGTCCCTTGAGTAGGAGACTGAATGGAGGATGGGGGGTTAAGGTCCAGGAGCCCAACTCCACTGGGCTCATTTATTGACCAGGCACCTCCCAACCCCGGGAAGGAAAGGGCCCAGAGACTGACTGAACTTTGGGGGAAAGTACCAGTAATTCGGATTCTTTCTCTCTTCTTTATCCTGGCTCCCCAGAAGAGGAGGCCTCACCCCACCAGGTGAGTTTCCAGGGGCAGCTGGAAGGAGGGAGGCCAGGCCCTTTGTGATGGGGTGGACAGGATTACTTCCCAGCTAGCTCAGGGTGCCACCCAGGAGGATATTAACATATCAATTGGCACCTTGGTGAGAATGCCTGGTGCCAGGATGCAGATCCTCCTCTACCCTTGTCTTTGCTCTGCTCAGACTCAGGCTGGGCCTCCAGAATCCAGGGTCCCATCCTGAGCCAGGCCGTGGCTACAGTGCCCCTCCCAAAACCACCAGGTGGCCTCAGCCTGGGTGTGGGGTGTGGGAGCAGCGCCTGCCCGGACCTAGAGCCGAGGCTGGACCAGTCAATGCAGTTGCCCTGGGCAGCTGGCGGGGGTGGGGGAGGGGTGGGGGGTGGGGAAATGGAATGGAGGGAGGGTTACAGGACCAAGGGTCTCTGTGAGCCCATTTAACCTGGCACTTCCCCGGCAGAGAGCCTCAGGAGAGGGGCACCACCTCAAGTCGAAGAGACCCAATCCCTGTGCCTACACACCCCCCTCGCTGAAAGGTACTCCCCCAACCCATGGTCTGCCTGTCCCCTTGACCCCTGGAACTGGGCTGACACTGGGTGTGCAGGGCGGAGTGGGCGGGAGCATTGAGCTTTTGTTGATGGGGAGGGATTGTCTTGTGCACCCACCCCAACCCCTACTTAGAGATCAATTCCTTCTTAATGTGGCCTTGGAAAAACAAGGTGCCCTGAGGCTGAAAAGGGTGGTGTGGGTCTGAAAATCAGGCTTCGGGGTTGAAAGAAAAGAGGTACATAACAAGTAGGCATCGACATAAAGAGACTCAGCTCTCTGCCGCCTCTGCAAGCATGCGCTGAAACACCTCCCCACCCTCGCCCCCAGGGCACCTTCTTAGGGTCGCACCCCTTGCTCTCCCCTCCCGTTCCCTGGCCTTTCGCACAGGTCTGCACACCGATGCTTCTTCTGTTCCTGCTTTTCCTTTCAATCCCCAAAGGCAGGTCACTCCTATAGCACTCTCTTATGGAGCGCCTAGTGTATGCCAGGCCCCCCTGGTGAGGGTGGAATAAGGCCCTCCTGGGGCCCTTCACCTCAAAGCATCCAGGAGAGCTACAGAGGAGAGGGGACTTGAAGGATGGGTAGGAATTCAACAGGCGAGCCAGGCACGGAGGGGTATTCCAGGAAGAGGGAGGAAGGTGTGCACGGAGGAGCAGGTGTGAAATCACAGGGGGTCTTCAGGGCTGCCTGGAGACTTGGCTTCCGGCGGGGGAGCTGAGGGAGAGACAAGTTGGTGGGCCAGGTGGGGGTGTGGGGAGGGTCCTTTCCTCACTAAGCCTTAGGATGCCTTCCCACCCCCAGCTCAGCTCCAGCTCTTCTGGCCTGGCCAGCCCCCTCCTCCTATGGAAGGAGAGAGGGAGGCCGAAAGGGTGTGCAGAAGGGTGTGCTGAGAGCTTGATTGGGTGGGTTTAGTGAGCTCCCAACCACCGGCCAAGGTCAACAGGTGCAGCTATCAGCCTGCCTGCCTCAGATGGGAGCAGAGAGAATTAGGAGAGGAGAGAAGATGCGGAGACAGCAAGTGGGCACTGGGTGTAGTTTTCAGAAGGCCTTCCGACCTGTGGGGATGTGGGGAAGGCCAGCCCCTGAAGCAGGCGTGAGGGAGGAGGTGCCGTCTTCTCAGGAGAGAACATGAGAAGTCTCTCTCCTCCGCACCCTGGGCTGAGTAGGGGGCAAGTGGATGTGAGAGGGAAGAACCACCCTTCGACTCCTGATTGTGAGCAAGGGGCAGCGGGCGGGGGTGAAGAGAACAGACCAGGGTGCTGCCCAGGCAGCCTGCCTTGGCCAGAATGTGCCCCCACCCCCACGGCCCCTTTGGGCTGCAACCTGGGAGGGGGCCAGGAGAGGAGCTGCGCTGGGGACCTTGGAGCTTCCAAAAGGGAGCCTTGAGTTGCGGGGGGAGTTCAGGGTCCCAGAGCTGGAGAGAGAGAGAGAAGGAGGCAGTCGGGAGGCAGAGGGGGTAAGACTCCAGAGAGCCCCGAGAGGCACGAGGCAGGCGAGGCATGCGGGAGGCTCTCACGGGGCGCTGCACACACCTATTGTCGTCGCTGTGGCTCACGAACTGAAGCACTGAACTCTCCTCCCCCGGCTGCTCGAGCTGCCACCTCCTCTCCTTTCTCCTTTCCCCAACCCTCAGAGGACCCTTCTGAACTTCCAGGGCACTGTGTGTTGTGGGTTTCGCCCTTTCTGGGCAAAGTAAAGCCCCTTGGCAGTGTTGGGGGATTTGTCGGGGGAGAAGCCTAGAGTCCGCGAGGAAGGGCGGACACCGAGTCTTGGCTTGAAGGGGGCTCTCCAAGGCCGAGCTCTTGCACTTGGCTCAAGGTGAAGCTTTGCTGAGTCCCCAAGGACAGGGAAGGGCGATTTATTGCGCTTTTATTGCCTGGGTAGTTTGCCCAGAGTTAGCAGGAGGCACTGGGTGGAGCTCGGGGCCAGACGGGGCAGCGGGCAAGCACAATGCACCCTCTGTGCCCGTCCCTGCGTTGGCAGGAGCGCCGGGCCCTGCTCTCTGTACAGGTTTCCAGCCTGGATCTGCCCCCTCGGGCTTTCTGAGGGGAGGGGCTGCCTGCAGATTAGGAAGTAGCTGCAGCAACCCCAGCCCCTAGTCCATCAGCATCTGGTCTCTGGGCCTCTAGTTCAGTGACCCGAATGCTCTAAATCCCACCAGCTCCTGGTCCCCTGCTGCCTCTGCCCCGGCCACACTTCCCAGGGTCCCCTTCACCCCTGCTTTTCTCCCAGAGTCCTCCAGCCCTGGCCTTTATCTCTGAACCCCCTCGTCCTTTCCATCTTTTGGAAACTTCTCTCTAGCTGCCCACACTGTTCCCTTCCTAGGTCCTATCCCAGCAGGCCTTGGTGGTGTTGGGGGGGTGGGTGGTGTTTGCTGCTTTCTAGGTCACTGCAGAGGGAGCTGAAGCTTGGGGATGTGGGTCAAGATAGTGGGGGCCGTGTCTGAGCAGGCTGCATCCCCAGGCAAGGACGTCACTGGCTGCAGACTATTGTGTCCTCAGTCTCAGAACTGTTCCTGCCTCTTAGAGTCTGGGGCAGGGGTGTGTGGCGTAGCATCTATGATGGAGGGCTGCCAGGGAGTGGGGACCAAGCCCAGTATGGGGCAGCAGGCAGGATCCGGGTGAGCGGTGAGCAGGCTGCGCACTCCCCTAGAAACTGAAAGGGACAAATGCCTCAGGGCCCGGCCCACCAGTGCCTTCTCCAGGGGCTGTAGCTGGTAGACAAGCTCCCCAGCCAGGAATGTTAAGCTGTTGCTGTGCCCGCCTGGTCTTGTCCAGCTTGGCACCCTACGGTGCGGGGAGATGCCTGGGGCTGGCCTCTGGGGCCCAGCATCTTTGGACAGCTTAAGAGCCAAACATGATCAAGAGTCTACCCCCTGCTGCTTCTGCCCTGGTCTGGCCCCCAGCAGGCTGAGCAGCAGCCTGTAGTGTTTGAACTAGACCCCTGCGGGGGTTAGCTCTGCCCCAGGCCCCCAGGAAGGAGGCTGGGGTTGGGCCACGTGCCTCTCCTGCTCCGTGGGCTGCTTCTCGGGCCTGGCTGACCCGTGCCTTCCTGGCCCCCCTGTGCCAGCCGTGCAGCGCATTGCTGAGTCTCACCTGCAAGCCATCAGCAACCTGGGTGAGAACCAGGCCTCGGAGGAGGAGGATGAGCTGGGGGAGCTGCGGGAACTGGGCTACCCGAGAGAGGAAGAGGAGGAAGAAGAGGAGGATGATGAAGAGGAGGAGGACAGCCAGGCGGAAGTCCTGAAGGGCAGCAGGGGGTCTGGTAAGCGGAAGGGGCTGTGAAGCCTGAGTTTCACCAACCATGGGCTTGGGTGGGGTCCTCCTTGAGTGTCCTGGGACACCCCCTTCCCCGTTTACAGTTTCTCCCACTCTCTCACCCCACAGGATGCCTCGCACTCAGCTTTACCTGACACCTGGGCTGTTCCCATCCTTGATTCCGTCCTTCTCCCTATCAGGTTTTCCCTAGTAATTCCTCTCTTCCCTAAGAATTAAGGCAAGTCTACATGAGGTTTGAGGCGAGACCCAAGAAAGGACTTCCCATCCATGGCCACTGGGAGGTGTAAAGAGATAAGGGATAGAGGACTAAGAGTGTCCAGGGCCCCCATCGCCTGCATTTCTGGATACAGGATGTGGTCTCTGCTGGGAGACACAGGACTGGTTGATAAGTTCTCTCAGGGAACCTGTGGTTCTCTCCTGCTTTTCTAATTTCCTAGGCTGGAGGTGAGCACCCCACTCCAGGACTCTTGCCTGGAAAATCTCATGGACGGTCGCGAAGAGTCAGACACGACTGAGCAACTTCACTTTCTCTTTTCCCTTTCATGCACTGGAGAAGGAAATGGCAACCCACTCCAGTGCTCTTGCCTGGAGAATCCCAGGGACGGGAGAGCCTGGTGGGCTGCCGTCTATGGGGTTGCACAGAGTCGGACACGACTGAAGCGACTTAGCAGCAGCTGCAGCAGCAGCAGGCTGGAGGTGAGAGGGTGCCCTCTAGTGTCTGGATGGAGAATCTAGGATTCAAGAACCAACCCGGTTGTCTGCACCTCCAACCCCAACTGCCTGGGAAGAGAGAGGCCAGTGAGGGGCCTAAGACCTACACAGAAGGCCTCAGAGCTACAGACCCCAGATCCCAAAATCTACAGAGCCGGGTCCCAAGACCCAAAGAATTCCTAGGCAGGAAGATCTCAGCCTCTCCCAGGGCTATTTTTTCCATGCCTGGCCACTTCTAACCCTCTGAATGCATATTCAGTGTTTGGTCCCATTATTTATGGGGATGAAAAGTAACCAACCATCACTGCTTGCAGTGTCCACTCTTTGCACCCCGCCTCAAAATGGCATAGGCCTCTGCTCTGCATTGGTGCTGGGGGCATCAGATGTGGGAGCAAAAGCTTCAGCTGGAAGAGTTGAGTTGACTCCCACTGACACCTCCAGAAGAGGTGAAGAGGAGGTGAGAGGAGACTGTTCTCTCAGGAAAGTGGCAGGGCAGTGGGTCAAATGGCAAGATGACCAAGGAACAAATATCAGTTGCCACCAAGCCTGGAGTGGCTCCTAGGTGCTAGGCACTGGGTGTTAACTATTATTTAAGGCAGTCTACAGAACTTTCCTCCTACCAACTCCTTCAGAGAGGTAATAATGACATCTAAGACATGTGGTTAGTCACGGGAGGTACTTAGTCCAGTGCTCACTCTACTACACCATGACACCCTCAGAAAGCTTAGTCTCAGCCAGCGGCTGGACTTGGCTCATGTTCTAGGGCAGCTAGATGGATACTCAGAGCTCGTGTTTTTATCCCTTCTTTCCTGTCCCCAGCTGGGCAGAAGACAACTTATGGCCAAGGTCTGGAGGGTCCCTGGGAGCGCCCGCCTCCTCTGGATGGGCCCCAGAGAGACGGAAGCTCTGAGGACCAAGTGGAAGACCCAGCAGTGAATGGTGAGACTTGGGAGTGGGGGGCTGAGGAGGCAGGGCTGGGATCTTAGTGGGCATGGCCAGGCCCTAAGTCCCTCTGCTTGCTTTGCAGAACCCGGGGAGGAGCCGCAGCGCCCTGCCCACCCTGAGCCTGGCACATAGGCACCCAGCCCTGCATCTCCTGGAAGGAAGTGGGGGGAGGCATTGATGTTCTCCAGAAACCCACTCTGTTCACACCCTATTTTGTACCCTGCCCCTCACTTGCTAGGGCTGCGGCTTCTGACCTTAGAAGACTAAGGCTGGTCTGTGTTTGCTTGTCTGCCCACCTTTAGCTGATGCCCAGAGTCCCTGGGCACTTGCTGCCTTATGCCTACCCCTGCCAGTCATTCCCCCATACACCCAGCGGGAGGTGGGATGGGAGAGCTTGCATTGGGAAATCCAGTAAATGGGGGACAAAGATTCATCCTTCACAATTCTACTCCCTAGACCCTCTCCCCTGGGCACAGGAAACCCACAGGGCAAGACCCTAAGATCTGGGGGAAAAGGATACTGAGAATTTGTAAGTGCCCACAGATCTTTCTCCATCCCTTGAGCAATTCCAAGTCATCACCCCTTCACTGCCTTCTACCAGGGCCCAGAATTCAGGCATCTTTTCCATGGCCTCAACTTTTGGTAAATCTTCCCCCTTATCACCTGCTCCCCAGCTTGGGTGCCTGGAAGACGGACTGGCAGAGACTGCTTTGTTGCATTTTCTGTGTGCTTTGATGCCAGGAATGCCGCCTAGAATAAGTCCTTAGGGGGGCACACGGTGGGGGAGCCAGGCTCTCCTTGTCCTCCAGCTGCTCTGTCCCCTTCCCCTCTTCCCTGACTCCTGGTTGAACCTGTAATAAATCTTTGTAAATAACTGTGCTGAGACTTCTCTTTCAGGGGAAAGGAGAGGGAGGAGGTCACAGGTTTCCCTATGTGGTAGTCATCCAAGAGTCAGGTCCTCGACCCTAGTGTCCAGTCCTCTAGCTTGGAGCCTTGACTGCAGACAAGCTCCAAACCCTCTTGGGAAAGACCTTAGGAGTTCTAGATCCCGCTAAGGATGGCTGAAAGGGGGTCGGGGAGAGGAGTCCTTCAAGAGTAATTGAAATCCTACAAAGGACCCGTCCCCACCCCCCACGCCTCCCCTCGGGAAGATCCTTTTTCTCCACAGTGCCAGGCTTTCGTGGCCCAACAAGGATGATGTCTCTGGGCTTCTTTCCAACTCCCCCTTCCGTTAGGAAGCTCTTTTCAAGCCTAACTTTGGCTGCAGTCCCCACTTCCGGATTTGGGGGGTGGGGCCCGAAGGCTTGGGGGCGGGGCTGAGGAGAAGGGGCGGGGCTGCAGGCCTACGCACGTCCCGGATCGTTCTCGGGGGCGGACTCAGTGGCGGAAGTGGCGACGGGAGCTCCCTTTCCCCTCGGAGGCTCTGCTGGGGCGGCGGAGTCAGATTGCGGTTGCGGGTAGGAAGAGCCGGGGTCGTGGCTGACATGGAGCAGGTGGGTCCGCAAGAGGTCACTGGGACCAGGTGGTGGTACGAGGGCTACGTCTTGCCAGCGGATCCCGTCTCCCTAGCGGGTGTCCGTTCGTGGTTCCGTCCGACCCTTCCCACACCCCCTGCGCCCCACGTTCCGCCCCCTTCCTCAGCTCGGCGCAGCTCCACCCCACGCGGGATTCAGGGGTCTCCGGCGCTGACAGTCCGCGGCTCCGCCCACTCGAAAGAGTCCGGGAAGGGCGTCCCGGATCGCCCTCCATAGCTTTCCTTTTCACTGTGAGGGGGTGGTGTCTGGGTATTAAGGGCAAGAACTGGATATGGGGAGGTGTCAGGGTTAAGAATGAGCAGGAAAATATCTACAAGTTCCTGTAGGTCTCCGTCTCACTGTCATCCGGGCTCCCTCAACTTCCTTTGGAAATGGCAGTGAATGACTTCTTAATGGACATCAGGAGGGCTTTGATATCTTTCTTGAGTTCTTAAAGGTCCATAACACCAATGACGCTAACTCATAATTGAAACAGTGGATATGTGTACCTTCCCCCCTTTTTGGCTTCCTCCGCGTCAGCATCCCCTTTTTTTCTTCCTACTACTCTGACTGCGAAAGCACCGTTTCACAGTCTGCTCTTGCCCAGCCCCTTACTCTGTACACTGAATCTGGATGGTCTCATCTACTCTCATGGTTTCAGCTTTGCATCCATGTGTGTTCAGTGGCTCAGTCATGTGTAACTGTGACCTCTTGGATTGTATCCTCCAGGCTCCTCTGTTAATGGGGTTATCCCAGCAAGAATACTGGAATGGGTTGCCATTTCCTCCTCCAGGGATCGAACCTGTGTGTCCTGCGGCTCCTGAATTGGCAGGTGGATTCTTCTTTACCACTGAGCCACTTGGGAAGCCTGGCTTCAACTTTAGGGTACGAGAAAGGCACCCATATCTCCAGCTTCAGCCAAGCCCCTCCCTGGAGGCTCAGACCTGGCCGTCAGCTACCAGTTGGACAGCTCTGCTTCAGCTGCCATTCAGGCTCTCTGAAGTCGAACTGCTCTTTTCCCCTGCAGATTCATTTGTTCTCAACTACCCCATCCTAACCAGAAACCTGAGACTCATCTTATACTTCCTCTTCTTTCTGAGTTCTCATCTCTAAGAGGTGACCTGGTCCAGCTAACTTCCTTAACATGCTTCAAACCTGGTCCCATGCCTCTAACTCTGTTGTCAGCACCCTTGTTGATATGTTTCGCACTAGGATGATTGCGGTGACTTCCCAGCAACTTCCAGTTCACGGCTGCCTGCAACCCAGTTTCCCAACTGTAACTCTTGTAGTCCTTGAAAAAGATGTCTCATAACATCACTTCCTTGCTTAAAACCCTTGGATGGTTTCCCATTGCCTGTGGGAAAGGCTGAATCTTTAGCACAGATTACATGGCTCTCTTTCCTACCCTATGTATACCCTGAGGTCCAATAATATGACATTGTAGGATGTGCTTGCTGGCACTTTGCCATTTTGTGTCTCCATGGCTTTGCATGCACCAGCCCCTCTGCCTAGAAAGCCCCTTCTCCTCTTACGTACTGCCTACCTTCTACTTGACCTTTAGTGCTCTGCTCAGGCAGCATTGCCTCTGGATCACCGCCCCTGCCCAAGGCTAAATATTGTCCCATCTGAGTCCCTGCAGCACCCTGTCCAGGATAGCGTGATGATGGAGGATACAGACTCCTGAACTGGAGTTCCTGGGTCCTAGTACTATCTTATGAAATTGATGAAGGCAGTGCTTCAGTTTTCGTTTGTCAAATGGAGATAGTTCTGTGCCTACCTAGTACAGTTATCATGAGGATTAAATGAAATAGTGTGTGTTTAGGGCTTAAAACGGTGAGTGGAGGCATGCTCAGTAAATCAGTGTTAACTGTTATTACTGTTTACATAAGAAGGATAAAGAGCAGTGATTCTGACTTTTAATTTTATCAGCTGCTTGAGAACAGTTGATGTGGCTTCTCATTCTGTCTCAGAGCCCCAAAGCCTGACTCTTTGTCAGTAAATAAAATGCTGGGGTAGAGGGCATTAGGGGCAGGATCTGGATTTGACTGGTGAGGATTCAAAACAGTAGAAGACCTAGACCCCATGTCATTCTGCTCAGGAAATGAATCTGGAAATGGATAAATGTTAGAGGCCAAGCATGAATTCTAGAGAAATGTACACAGAACTCTGGAAACCCAAGGAAGAAAAAGGCCAAAAGTGGCTTCCCGGAGGAGCTGACAGTTAGGGGCTCTGAGTGACAGAATGAGGACCAGCGGGAGGTGGAGCCCAGGGTGAGCTCAGAGAATGGAAAGCTGCATCCTCCAGTTGGAGAGCTCTTTCAGGGGAGGGGGCTGAGGTGGCCACAAGGGCAGGTTCCTTTCTTCACCTGGCCACGAAGGAGTATCCCCTTGGGTTAGGAGCCTGCAGGGACCATGCCCTGGGGAGGTCTGGAGGCTGGGTACCCATGTTTGGGGGCAGGTCCCTAGGGGTAAGGTCAGCACGCATGCCTGTGGGCTGGGCCTGTGTTTGAAACCAGATTCTGGGCTTTTGTTCAAGCCGGGAGTGCCCATCTTCCTTGCCTCCGGCTGATAGATGCGGAGGCCTGGGTCAGATGGCTCCTCCTCCCTGTGACTTTCCGACCTCCCCCACTGTAGCCTGGGCCAGATGCTCCTTTCTCTGGGAGCCCACAGTGCTTTGTTCATCCCTCCCTGAAAGTGCTGATCGCAGCGTGGCACGGTGCCTTTATCTGTCAGCCTCCCTTCTCAGACCCGGACCGCCTGAGTGAATATCCCCAGGGACCAACACGTGGCTGGCATGCTGTAGGCTCTCGGTTTACCTGCTGTAGTAAACCGAGCTCTCCGACACTCGGACTTGTTTGGGGGAAGGAATGTGGGTGCAACCAAAAATTCTGTACATTTGACAGCTCACACTTGTTGCATTCAATGACAGAGATTGTTGGCCCCATTTTACAGACAAGGAAGCTGAGACTTGGGAGGTGCGGTCAGGTTCACTCAACAGGAACTGTCTTCTGACTCCAGGTCTACAGCTGTGTCCCAGAAACTGCCCTGGGCTCCCAGTCCCCAAAGGGACGTTTGCCACATCAGTGGGACAAGGGACAAGGGAGATATACCATCCTGCCTGTTTTATTTATGTCCCTCTGAGCTTTTTCTGCCTGGGAAGGGGCTGGTCAGGACCAGTGCTGGGAGGAGTCTGTTCTGCAGACCCCAACCCCTGCAGGGCCCTTCTGTCACCTAGGCTCATAGGACTGAGATTGCCCTGGAAGATGGACCAGCCCTTTCCAAACTGACCTTGAGAACTCAATCTTATTAGTCCTGTTTTATCCAACAGCACCAAGGGGTGGTGTGAGGCCTGACTCACCAGCCCTTGAGTAGGCTGGGGTCATAGAGTCACAGAGCTGGGGACATCTCTGACATTTAATAGGGCCTGGCATGTGGAGGGAGCCGAAGGGCTGAGTAGATCTCAGTTTGATAGGGTTTTCCAGTAACTGAAAGTGAAAGTCGCCCAATCACGTCCTTGTGTCAGACTCTTTGTGACTGCATACAATCCATGGAATTCTCCAGGCCAGAATACTGGAGTGGGTAGCCTTTCCCTCCTCCAGGGGATCTTCCCAACCCAGGG